GAAAGACAGAGACTGTCAATGTAATGGACTATCCCCTAACTCGCCTTTTTTTTGTTGTTTGTTTTTAGTCAGCTGAAGTGAAATGCATTTTTCTGTTTAGGTCTATGGCAAAGTCAATACATTTGTCAACTTGCACCAAACTTGTTTGCTGATTTTGCAACACCATAGTTGACTATTCAAACATTTCCCAAATGCTGCATTGTATAACTGTAGAGGTAGTTCAGGTTGGATTGATGCCATAGACTGAGCAGTTCCTTAGAGTTCATGGGCCATTGAATTTCCCTTTGTTTGGGCTAAAGAAGCTCTTCCGGGCCTCATATTTGGAAGGGTCTCAAATTGTGACTTTTTGAAGGTATCATCAAATGTGGCTATTCATATAGTCATTTCAAATATATATGTGTGAAGATCTTGATGCAGTGATGCAGATGAAAGCATCTCAAGCCCATTCCTGGCTTCTGCCTAAGCAGATATGTTATGGAGAAGAAGGTTAATAAGCTTTATATGTGATTGAGACTTAAATAACGTGTGGAAATTCTAAATATTAAATAGAAACATTTAAAATGTGCTACATGAAATCCCAGCGGCTCAGGAGGCTGAGGCAGGAGGATCACGAGTTCAAAGCCAGACTCAGCAATAGAGAGGAACTAAGCAACTCATTGAGACTCTATCTCTAAATAAAATACAAAATACAGCTGGGGATGTGGCTCAGTGGCTGAGTGCCCCTGTGTTCAGTCCCCGGTACAAGCACTACAGGTTAGGAACCCTATTTTAGATTTTAGAATCATTTAAATATATTTGGTGCTCAAAGGCCCAAACTTCTATGAACATTGAGAATTCCAGCTGAAGGGATATTAGAAAATTATTTAATCTCTGCTTGTGATTAATTGTATATGTGTATATTATCTTTGGAGGATAATATTCAACTTTATCTTCTTTTACTTATTTTTATTCTGTAGGTTGAGTTGAGTAGATGAAAAAGAAACTCATAATATAGTTCAGCTTTTACCCCCTGCAAGTAGGTAGAGAGAATAATATACCAGTACAGAGTGCTTGATTCATCTTTGTGATAATATGGAACTCTGCTGTTTGAATAATTTAGGAAGACTTCTGTAACATTTCTCTATGGATTTTTACTTTTATTTTTTTAATGAGAACCAACATTTAAAAAGAGATAAGGCAAAGAATTTGGAGTGCCAAAGCCCTGACATCAGAAAAGATCACAAATTCTCTTCAGTTCTCTAAGCTTAGAAATGAAAAGGCACAGGGTAAATCCTATGTTAAAGAGAAACCATAAAAGTGTTTTCAACTGCAGTTCTGTTAGTCTTTCATTTTTTTTAGGAAAGATTTAGTCCATCCGATAAACAGATACCTACAACACTATAAAAACCAGTTGGATTCACATAAGTGTGGTCTGTATTTGAGAGCTGCAGGATGGGGAGAGACGGGAGGTCTATGGACTTAATCTACTTTATTAGATTCTGAGTTCACAAACCTAAGGGTTGAAATGATAAAAGACAACTCTTCTGGGGAGAACAAAGCATCATAAACACAGTGTAATAAAGAGAAGATAAAAAAAAAAAAAAACAGAAGCGAGAAAAAGGTAGATAACTTAAAGAACAGGTAAAGTGAGAGCAAAGAAATCAGTGGATACAGTTCAAAATCACTCAAAGTTAGGTCATTTGGTTTCTTAATCATTACTGGTTCTATACCTCTTCTTCCAGTTTGGCTGTAACCAGAGTCTATTTCCAAATATTATTTTGTCCCATGACTAAAATTAGCAATTTAGGTACAATCGAGATGAGAACAAGAGGTTATCTTTCTCTGTACCATTGCAAAATGCCAGGATGGTCTGACTAAGGTTTCTGTTTTGCTTTTAATTGTTGACTAATCTTGATCTAGCTGCAGGTCTCTCTCTGAGGACACTTTTGAAGGTAGAGATTTTAAACAGGATGACCAGAGATTTTAAATATGGGTGAGAAAAAATATAATTCAATGCAAAGGTATGAGCTAAATCAGCTTCTTCAGAGCCATCAGTTTTATACTCTCAATAGATAACATTATACTGGCATGTGCATTCTAGCACCTTCTCTGTACTATTTGAAGATGATAGGCAGAAATCCACGGAAGGGCTGCTAAAATGGTTGTATTAGCACCCATATTCTCTTTCTCTGTGTGAAGAAAAATGAAGATTTTATTGCAAGTTTTTTGTTTCTTATAAAATGATCATATAAAACTCATAGTATGTATTGAGAACTAGTGAAAATGACCAAAAGAAATAGTAATACAAGAAAAAGAGCCAAATTCTGTTAACCCCAATTTAAACTCTATCCATCTGCCTTTCCTTCAGTCATTGTTCTCAGATAGGCGAATGCCACCAAACCCAAACTGTCAGTCAACCTCCTGGTGGTCCTCCTCCACCCATCTTCTCCCCTGCTTCTTTGCCCTGCTAGTTTCATTATTTTCTTCAGAAATTTTTCAAAAGATCTCCATCACTAAAAATCGGATTTGCTGACATAATGCTTGTTTTAGTCGGGATCGTTCCATTCTATTCTTCCATTTTGCTTCAGAAAGTTCCCCTCTGTGGTCAGAATAACTTTCACTGTTGGTCAGAATTTGCTTTTAGAATTTCTGCCTTTTTCATGCACGAAGCTTTTCCTGTCTTCTCTGCTTACTGGAATCTCACATGAACTTTCAAGGCCCTGTTCAAGGCCCAGGAGATCCCCGAAACCTTCTTGCATGGCCAACCCCAAGAAGGGACTTTTCATCTGCTGGAGTCCGGGAGCACACTGCAGTCATCCTGGCATTAATTATGTCAGAGTCTGGGAAGCCAAGCATCTCTTCATGTGAACACATCGTATTCCTCAGCCCCAGCCCTGGAGTGCAGGCCAAGTCTTGCACACCTGTTCATGGTGGCACTTACTTGAATTTCATTTATGAACAAGTGGTGTCTGTCACCTTGTTGCCCAGAATTGCTTCATTATGCCCTATCACCCTGCTTCTCATTTTGTTTATGTTTTTAAAAGGCTGTACATATTGTGATACTGGAACCACATCGGAGCTTGACTGAATATGTTGCCTTTGCCATGTTTTGAAAATTTTAAAAGAGCATAAATCTATTACCACATTATGTACAATCATATTACAGTATGATTTTGAGAAATATTCAGGGCTTTGGGCTCAGTGAGACAATGCTTGCCTACCATGCATGAGGCCCTAGGTTCCATTCTTAGCACCATTAAAAAAAAAAAAAGAAAGAACTATTTAGGGCATTAAATTATGTTTAAGTTTGTACTTTCCTTACCAAAGAAAAGTTATTATGAGGTTTGTCAAGGCCAGACCAGACCAAACATTTCTTCATTAATTTTGGTCACATCTAAACATGTCAAATGATCTAGGGTAAAACAACAAATGAGGATCTTAGTTATTTAGTTCATTTAATTTCTGTGAAATTAGTTTTTCTGTACATAGATTTGATTTTTAAGAAGTATTAGAAAAAATTTTATGATAAGAATTTTGCTAGGTTCAAAAGGAATATAAGATCCTTTATAGAAATCTCTAAGTGTGCTTTTAATTTATAATCAAATATGCTATTTGCTACAATTATTTATTATATATAAAGGTCAGAATTACAAGCAAAATTTTAAGGGAGGAAAAGCTTTTGAAGATTTATGCACTTATTACTTCTTAAATATGAAGATATAAAATAAAACTCACTTATTGGAGTACATCCACTCTTGTTTAGTTGGCCCACTATTAAATGGGATTTTACCAGAATAGAAGTATTTAATTTTCTAAAAATTATTGCTGGTCTTTACTCCATCTCACATTCATAAAGTAATTTTGCAAACAGAGTGAAAACCTAAGTTGGAAAGATCACAACTGGATGATGGAAACAGTAATTTAAAATGGAGTATTATTTAGATTTTCCTGATATTATAATTAGGACTTCTTTTACTATTGCTTTATTCCTGAAACCATAATAATTCTCATCTGACTAAAGACAAAGCTACCAGATGCCTCTTAAAAAGGAGAACATGCTAAAAGACAAGTAAAACCAAGTGTAACATACTAAGTTAATAGATCAAATAGGCCACATTTGAAAGGAAAAAGAGAAATGGGTAACTAGGCATTTTGTTTAATGTTTAATGTATTGCATCAACTTAAGAATTTCTTAATCAGAGAACAATGTCTAGGTTTTTTTTAAATAGAAATAGGAATTGACACAACTGATGTAACCTAGCATTGCTTCTGATTGGTTATCAGATTGTACACTCACTTCCTAAATATTTAAAAGGCAACAAACCCTTAATTTTGGATTGATTTCTAATCTGTTTTTCTCAGCTTACTTTCAGAATAGAGTCTAGCTGACAAATTTTCATAACAGAATAAATTATTTGCTAATACATTTCAGCCCTTCGTTATGTATATGGAGAGCTATGTGGGTTTTTTAAGTGGAGAAAAATGTACGTTTAGAACTCTTTCAAAACATCAAATAGCCTTTGCTTATTTTGAGGTTGGTAGCAGTGGCTGATAATGGCATATGCTTTCCAATCTCCCACACCTTGGATAGATAACTTGACATCATTTGGAAGTGTATGTCATTCTGTAAAATTTCCTCCAAACAGATCAACAATTCAAAAGAAAATAACTCCTCTACTAGGTAATGAATTTTTTTTTTTTTGCTTTTGTGATTATGTTATTTCATTAAATAATCGGACCCCATTACTGTGGTTACTGGTTTGACTTGTATTCATAAACCCCCCAAAATCAGCATTTCTAGATTTATCAGCCAACCAATCTATAGCATTTTGTTGAAGAATGACACCCAAGTAAAAATTTCAGAGTATTTTGCTGTATAAAAGCCAGAATTCTAAAAGCAAATAGAAATTGGTGTAACTGATGTTTAATCCAGTTGTACAACAGTAAACTGAGTTTGCTTCTTCTTTTTTTTTTTTAAGCTGACGCAAGTTGGGCAGAGGGAGGTGTTGGAGAAAGGTGATGGTGTTGATTGGCCTGTCTCGTTCACTCCCACTGGTCTTTAAATCATTGTCTAGGTCTCCAAAGGTTCATCTCAGTCAACTCTGTTTCAGGGGTCTGCCATTCCAAACAATTCAGGAAAGACTGCACAGGACTGGATAAATAATTAAGGTACAGCTATTTTTACATATAAATGTTTGCAGTGTTAAATAGTGCTTTCTTATTATGTTGATTTTTTATTCATTACAAATTAAAATGTTTGAAAATACTACTTGGGTAACTTTTTTTTTTCATTTAAAAAAGATCAATCAGTGTCAAACATTGAAATTATTTACCCAGATCCTGAATGCAGTTTTCTTTTGTAGATAATTTTAGATTTGAGCATAAAATTAGAAATATGGATAAGAAGAAAATGAAACATTATAAAGACAATAGGTTTTGTTTTAGTTATTTATGTCTTCTGGTTGCTCACTGAATGTAATAAAGAGTTTGTCTTAGGATCAAACACAAAGTTGTAGAAGTACAGTTTAATGTTACACCATTAAGGGTTTTCCTGTATTTTGAAAACAAAATAAAACAAAAGCAACCTAAAAACATTGAATCAAAAGAAGGAACATCACATGAGTACAGCAGATGTAAATGACTAAAGATTTGGGCTAAAACATAATCGAAGGAAAAAGAAAAAGAGTTATTCTTACCTTATCTTCTCAATTGGACCATTTAAAAAAGAATTTTTAGAACAAAGTTACTAGAAGAAACTGGGGAATTGTATAGAATATAAACATAGCTTTAGTTTTTGAAGGACTAGAATTGATTACCTAAAAACAGGGCTTGTTTGCTTCAAATTTATTAATCAGAAAGGGAAAATTCCCAGTGGATTTAAGTTTAGTTGTGTCTTAAGCATCTTGCAGAGTATATGATGATGATCTGTATTAAAAGCCCAGACAATAGCAAAATTGAAAAATATTTGAACTGAAGGAATATATCATACTCATGGACATTGATTGGGCTACACAGAGGTTGTAATATTTGGACAAACTGAAGAAATTTAGGTGTGTTTTCTATAAAAGATTGCTGTTTATTTTACAGTTCAAGAACCTCCTGTTCATATTTATATTTACATCATGTTCTGGGATTTTCTTGATAGAATTTATACGTAGATTCCTAAGAAATACATCGGCAATATTGGAAGTTCTGGAAAAAAATGTACTTTTGATCACTCTCTGGAGTTTTCTTTAACTATGTTATACAATATGTTTTAAAGGTTATGAACCATAATGGCGTAGGGGAGCATGTGAGGAATGGAGGAACTTCAGATAGGGCAAAGGAGAGGGGATGGGGGTAGGAAATATGGCGGAATGAAATGGACTTCATTCCTCTAGGTACATGTATGAAGACACAAATGGTGTGACTCTACTTTGAGTACAACCCGAGAAATGAAAAACTGTGCTCCATTTATGTACTAAGAATCGAAATGCATTCTGCTGTCATGTATAACAAATTAGAATAAATAAATAAATAAATAAGTTAATTAAAGAAAAGGTTATGGAAGCAATTATTTTTAATATGAGTTACTTTAAATAAAGTAACAACAATTTTTTTCCAAAAGAAAAACAAGTACCTGTGGGGTGGCCTACTATCTATTATATAGAATATAAATATTTCAGAATTTACTGCATCCAGTTTATTAGCTGTTATGCATTTAAAATGTACAGCATGAAGAGTCACAGTGATAATAACATAGATGCTACATATCCTTGAATATTCTGCAAGCTAACTACTGTTTGGAAAAAATATGATCTCAAATTTATTTCAGAATTAAATGATTAAAAAAATCTATGTCTTCTAAGAACAGATCTGGAAAGCCTGTCTGGGAAAAAAAAGAACATTCAAATATAATGCTTTAATTCTTATATTAGCCAGAAGGTAGTGTTTTAGCTCAGGGAAGAGACCTCAGCATAGGGTTAGTTATTGTGCCTTTTCTAGATCTTTCCAGATGCTATTTCTAAGCTGCATCTCAGTAGGGGAAAGGAATGGAAATGCTAAAATATTAGCACCAGCAATAGGAAATAGTCAAGTAAAGAAGGCCCTATTGTTATTGGCAAGTTTCCTCTCTAAGACATTCCACCTCAGACTGAATGTCTCGTGGAAGCTAATTTCTGTGAGAAACTGTGCCGCAGACTAACAGGCTACCTTACTGTTGAAGTGTGACTAGAATGGAATTGCTGGGATATTAAACGAACTTAACATAATGGCAATATTAGATAGGCTTAAAAGTTAAAGCCATAGTCATCTATCTGAGGTATAAGTTAGATGTCACTTTAAATTAGTCCCTTGGATGTAAGATACTTGACTTTCCGAAGTTGCATGACCAGCTATCCTCACTTGCTCAATGATAAATGCCATGTGAGGCTGTCTGCTACCTAAACTAGATGTCAGAGTAGACTTGTGAGTTCTGGGTTGGTTTGAGAGATCAGACCAATAGTGATGGTGGGAAGTCTATGCTGATGATGACAGCTCTCTTTCCACCTGGATTTACCAGCAAAATAAATGTTTGCAGTACCTACAAGAAGGTCATAACTTATGCTTCTTGACTCAAGAACAGTTTTGCTTACCTGATTTGGTATCTTTCTTTCAAGTTGAGCCACACATGTAAAATTTGAGAAATTTACTGTTTTGAGAATCTTCCATCCTCAGTGTGTTAGGTAACCACTCACACAACAGGACATTAAAATGTACTAGAATTTGAATGTAAGGAATCAGTTACTTAGGACATTTAGATATTTCCTTTTCTTTTGATATTGTTGTTGTTTTGATTTTTTAGGTAGTCCTAGGGATGGAACCCAGGGCTTCACACCTGCTCAGCAAGTACTGTACCACTGAGCCACATCCCCAGCTCCTAGATTACTCTTAATAAATGTGATAAAAATGGAAGTCTTCTAACCTGATAGTATTCTAAGTACTTTTGCTTCAAGCTTTGATTTTCTAGCTCCACGAATGGGTCAATTGAATCGGCAGTGCTGTTGACCTCTGTATTGGAATATCCAATCGTTTTCTATAAGACCTCTTTGTATCACAGGGAAACTTAATGGGCTGGAAGGCTGAACTACAAAAACTTCTGTCAAATCAAATTTGATCTTTCTTTTAGAAATACTTTGACTATCTTTGAGCAAAAAGCTGTTCTTTTTCCTGGTGAGCAGGAAAACAGTTCCATTTTATCTTGAACTATTAATCCCTACAACTGCCACAGGAGTGCATGCCTGTATCTATAATGGAGATCACTTCAAAGCATGTTGGTCTTAGTAGAATATGACATCAGGCACCTAGACGCTGGGGGCAGGTAGAGTCTACAGTCCCAGCACTGTTCCACCTTTGTGAAGCTTCCTGCCTAGAGGGAAAGACAATTCTTTGTCAAATAATTACACACATAAAAATGTAGGTACAGAGAGTGATGAGTACTCTGAGGGAAAGGAGAACATGCTACAGTAGCATACGATGAGGATCTAGCTTCGTTATGGGAGTCAAGGAAGGATTCTCTGACCACATGGCCTTTAAAGATGTTTAGGTTGTCTTAGTGAACATCAGGAGACACCCCCATTAAGAATGTGTAGAAGTTCATTCCATGCAGGGAGCCCCGCTGGGTTGAAAGGTCCTGAGGTCGTAATGGGGAAATGAAAGAAGCCCATTGGATTCAGAGAAGGAGAGAAGCTGTGATTCCACCTGGGGCTAGATGGCTGTGCCTGGGTAAGAGAATGTAGAGCCTTACAGGATATTAGGACATTTGACTCAAAAATCCAAGAGAAAATCACCACGGGACTGTTAGGAAGTTATCTGGGATAATGGCAGCCATGGAGGTAGAAGTGGTGGATTTTAAACATATGTTGAAAGAAGGACTGATCGGACTTGGTGATAGGTTGGAAATGAGTAGAGAGGTGACAGACAGCGGATGAGAGGTGTCAATGATGATGGCTAGATTTCTCCAATGGGTGAATGGGCGAATAGAGGCGCCATGTACTCAGACGGGGGAGCAGTGGAAGAATTTAAGCCTATGGAAATTGTATCTTTGAGTCAGTGGTGGCGTTTGTCAACATCATGCTTTTCTACTCTGCTCCTGCAATGATTCACTGTGTAGTTCAATAAGAATTTATCCAGAGGAAAAATAGCAAAGATGTTCCTTATGTATATTATATAGTTTATTCCAAACTCTGTTTGCACTCATAGGCCGAGTTCCTCAGGTGCAGGAATTGTCTTATTCATTTTCTGTAACTTTCATAATTTCTGGCTCATGTTTCATTCTCAATATGGTTTGAACAAATGAATAAATAAATACCATCTGTGAAACACTCCAAAATTGAAATACAATAATGTGAGTAATCATGCAACTAAATTTTAGCATTCACAATGCAGGCTAAATACTTCAAGGTACACCCTTGGTGCTGCAGGCAAAGGATTCAGAATATTTCATTTCTCATAATGTTCTAATGATTTTTAAAAATGTGCTTTGGGCTGCTATTCCCTTAAAACAGGCTAGTAATAGAATGTTCAGAGGCAAAACTACGAGCTATGAAAATGTTTTCTAACTTTTGTGAGAGTTCCCATGACAAGGACCAAAATTAGGACTATGGGCTGAGATCTTAAGCTATATTTCATGGGATGTATCACCTTCAAAAGAGAACCAGAGGAATGTTTCATGTATGGTAAAAATAGCATTAAATTAGGTCTTAATTTTCTTATCTGTGAAGGAGGACCTATTTTGCTTGTGATGTTTATGAAAATTATGAGAACTATAAAGCCCTCTTTTAGAAGTGCCTGAGATAAATTAAGCATATGAAATGCGTTGTCTGTTTGTGTGCAGATGCAATCATCAATAGGATTCTGAGGGGAAAAGAATGTGAATGTATTGAGGGGCTAGTAGATGCCAAACTTTGACATACATTATCTCATTTAGATCCACACAGTGTTACTTTTGTGGGAAACAATAATACCCTCATTTTGCAGAAGATGAAAAGGTCAGAAGTTAAATAACATGGTCAGGATTTATACCCAGCTCTATGTGTCACTATGGCCAGAATTCCTGTTCCCAGTACAAACTTTAATTCTCTTTAGGAGAGATAGCAATACAGAGATGGCAGAGTCTGGCGTCCACTGAGCCTGTGTCTCCATGACTCATCTGGAATAAGAACAAAATTAGCCACTGTGAACAGCATGTGCAAATAGCCTGACATGTTAGAGAACACGGTCCAGTGCATTCCTGAAACTCAAAGAATAGTGTATCTAGAACACTGAGAAGGGAAGTGTATAGCTCAGAGAGGTGGGTGGACTATGTGGAACCTTGCTGGATGTTGTTTGGATGTGTGTCCCCCACAGATTCATATATTGAAGGCTTGGTCCCCAATGCAGCAATGTTCAGAGTTGGGACTTTTGGGAAGTTATTGGATCATGAGTTCTCTGACCTCATTAGTGGATTAATCAGTTGATCACTGAATAGACTATTGGGAGGTAGCAGAGGCTGAGGGAAGTGGGACTTAATAGAAAGAATGGATCCTTAGGAGGGGTCATGCCCTTGGGAATATCATCTTGTCCTTGGTCCCTTCTCTGTTCCTCTGTATCTCTTTCTCTGCATCTCTTCCTCCCTCCCCCCACTTCCTGGATGCCATTAGCTGAACAACATTCCTTTACCACACCTTTCCACCATGGTGTTCTCCCTTGCCTTAAGCCCAAAGCAAGGAAGCCATCCAACCATGGACTGAGACCTCTGTGACTATGAGCTAAAATAAATCTATCCTCCTTCTAAGTTGTGTATATCAGTTATTTTGTTACTGCAATGAAAAGCTAACACACTGGGCTTGTTGAGAGTTTGGGATTTTATTTAAAAATAAAGGGATGTGGGCTGGGGATGTGGCTCAAGCGGTAACGTGCTTACCTGGCATGCGCGGGGCGCTGGGTTTGATCCTCAGCACCACATAAAAAATAAAATAAAGATGTTGTGTCCACCGAAAACTGAAAAATAAATATTAAAAAATTCTCTCTCTCTCTCTCTTAAAAAAATAAAGGGATGACATTAAAGGGTTTGAAGCAAAGAAATGTTATGAATTATGATGTTGCTGTTTGAAGATCACTTTGGCTTTTGTGTGGAGGATGAATAGGACAGTTAGAGAGGCATCCAGGAGCTCAGTTAGGAGGCTGTTAAAGTACACACTAAGAAATGATGGTAGCTTAGCAAGAGTGATGGTGGAAGAAATGGAAAGGAGACTAACTCGAGAAATACTTCCATTAGCTGTAAAGTGGATCAGACTTTCTTAAGGACTGGATGTTGGGGATAAGGAAGAAAAATTTCAAACAGAAGACTCTTGAACTCTGGCTTAAATAATTGAATAAATAGTGCAGCAGTTTTTGAATAGGAAACACTGAAAGAAGGGAACTATCATAAGGTAGATTTTAGGCACATTGAATTTAAACTGTCTTGAGATATGTAGGTGTCAACTATGCCACTGGACTCAGGGCAGGCGCTTACATCAATAACTCTGTGGTCCTCAAAGACTCCTCAAGTTCCGTCTTCAGCCCAGGCTTTTCCTAAGTCCCTGAATATGAAGCTCTAAGAATAGGAACTCCAATATCTAAGGGCAAAGGATGGATGTCCCAGGCCTAGGAGAGTCAATTTGTCCTTCTCTACCTTTTTATTCTGTTCAGGCCCTCAACCCCTTGGATGATGCCTGTCCACATTACTGCCGGCTGATATTCTTTACCAGGTCTACTGATTCAAAGGCCAATCTCTTCCATAAATACCCTCCCAGACACATTCAGAAATAATGTCTTACCAGCTTTCTGGCTGTCCTTTAGCTGAGCCAAGTTGACACATAAAATTAACCATCAGTGTGTGTTAAGTCTTAGAAGTAGATTGAAAGAAGAGGGCTTAGGATGTAGCCTTGAAGAAATCAAGCAATGAAACCTCAACCAAAATTATACTTCTTAAAAGAACAAGCCCACAAAAACTGTGAAAAATAATAGCAGTGTCATCAATAAACAGATTTTTTTTTAAAGAATTCCCAGAAGCTGGAAATGATTTAAGTTTGGATAGTTTGAGAAATAGGAAAGGAACGAGGATAAGTGTGGTTTTTTTCTGAAGGGAGCTCTGTAGCAGCTCCAAGTTAAGTCAACAAATTCAAAGAGGCATAGATTAGAGGAAAACAGTGATAGGACTCAGCAAGGAACCTCGCTTTGGATGTGATGGTCTGTTAGGGCTGCTGGTTTTGCCCATAAAATAAATCTCTGATTGTGTTTATAAAGAAAAGCTGTAAAGAAAAGACTATAGAATTAGCATTAGGGCCTCCATAAAAGACAAAGAGGTCTAACAAGCAGATATAGATACTCCACTCCCTGGATAATATATTTCATCCCCAGAGTAATCTCTCCTAGAGTGGCAGCTGTGCCCAGGAGTGAAGTTCTCACACACACACAAGCCACAAAGGAGCCACTTACAGAGACCTGCAAGGAAGCAGTGAAATGAGCTGATAAAATGTCTGAGAAACCCCAAGCACTAGCTGTCTAAAGTAACCAGTCCACTCCTTCATTCATAACTATGAACAGACAACCAAGGATTGTAAGAATTTTAGGTAAACCAGCAGCATGAAAGAGAAGAACAACAACAAGCAAACAGAGTAACTGCCCCAGAAGAAACAAGGAACTTCTGAAAGTTTCCCATCAATATCCTTATAAAAGATTTGGGAAGGGGCCAGGGATGTGGCTCAGTAGTAAAGGGCTTGTCTCACATGCATGAAGCCCTGAGTTTGAACCCTAGTAATACACACACACACACACACACCACAAAAAAAAAAAGAAGAAGAAGAAGAAAAGAAAAAAAATATTTGAGGAAATGTTGCATCCATAAAACTAAACAAAAGAACAAATTATGAATAAAAATTAAAAACATGATTAAGAAAAATAGTTGCTTGAATAGTTAAGTTGAAAAGTCACATGGATATGGTTGAAGATAAGTTTGTTATTTTGGATGTGACATGGAAGAATTATACTTGAATATAATCAAAACCCCTCTGACTCAGTTTATCAATCCCAGACTGGTAACTAAAAAAAGATAAGGACATTAGCATACTTCTTTCTACCCTCTTTCTACACTTCTAATTATTTTAGTTAATAAATATGTTTACAATGATTCATTTATCATGTAGTCAAATACTCCACTTAGTTCTTCGAGTGATTCTATTTATGCGATCATAATATAAATCTTGATTATTGGTTTTCTGTGTTTAGAAGCAACCTACTGACAAATTATAACAGATGAATTGCTTTACAGCAATCGTGTGTTGTAATTCTCAACATTGTCCTATGGTGAGTAGCAGAAAACCTGGGTCAGAGGGGTTTCAGTGAATTATTTAAATTTAGAACAGCTAACTTTAAATGAAGAAATAAGAACAGAAACAGTTTGGCTGCTGCTGAGAAGTGAGGCTGGTAATGTGTGATAGGTGAGGGAAACCTTCATACTCATTTGATATGAGTTTCTATTTTTTTTCTTTTAACATATGCATGTCTTCATTCTCTCTGGTAGCTTTTAAGCATCTTCTATTGACTTTTAATGTAATGAATTTAGACTGCCTGGTATTAGTGACGAATGATTCCTCCTCCTTGGAATACCTGTGCTGTTTTAAATTCTGAGAATTGCTTCCTCTGGATGATTCTTTACCATTTTATATTTGTTCCATCTCTTTTATTCTTTTCCCACAATATCTCTTAACATCTCCTTCAATATCTTTCTTTCTTTAGCTCCTGTGCTATAATTTGAGTAATTTCCAGAGGTCTATTACTAATGCTTTTTATTCTTAATAATTTAAAAGTCTTTTAAATCACTTTGCTAATTGTAGTTCCTCAAATGTGAATATTATTGTTTCTTGTGCCTATTGACAATCATATGAGAGAGTTTCCCTGTGTGGACTTCTGTGGCTTGTAGTTTGGGGTTATGAACTCATCCCAAGTGTGAGCTGCCTTCCAGGTGCTCAGTCTGGCACTGCATTAAGGAGGCATTGCTATATGGTTGTTAAATGTTTGTGAGGGGATTTATGGATTTTTGTAAGTTCTAGAGCAACTTTTCTGTTAGTTTCTCTGCTTGGATTTCCTGATCAAACGTGAAATCACATTTCAGAACCACTCCTTTCAACAGTGATCATATTTCTCCCATATAATGGTTCAAGAATGATTGAATGAATTAAATAGTAAACATTTCAGAAGACATTGTATCAACAACATAAAATGGATACATGGCATTTTTTTTTTAAAACGCAAAGCCATTTTCACTTTGAGAAAATGAGGCCCCCAAAAAGTTAAATGACTTGTACTGAGATCCAATGAGCAGAACCTAAACGCTGTCGTTTTCTGGTTGTTAAAATGCAGTTTAATTTGATATGGATGGTGACTGATGCTGATTCAAAGGTAAACCTGGCTTTCGTTTGTTACTATTCTTAATGTTGGCTTCAGGATACAGATGCCTAGAAAGTGGCTTCCTAACCTTGATCCTATCCTGGGTTGCATGTTAATCAATGTGTAGGTTGTTTTCATTCTTTCACACTCAGTTAAATTCAGGCAGTAATTTTCTTTCTAATTATTGCTAATTGTTGTTAGATCTAATTATTGTTAGATCTTCCTTTGTCAACAGGAAATCATGCAGTCTGCTTCCAAATACCCAAATCTTTGTGATGACTGTTGCCACATCTTACAATTTCTCTTTCTTCCTATGGTGACTAGCAAAGCACCTGTCATGTTCATTATGCATAGGCACTTGTTAAGTATCTACTGGCTTAGCAGCTTTTTGTAAGTTTTCTTCTTCTTCTTTTCTATATGAAGCCAAGGAAACTCTGGGGATATATTTATGTAAAGTTCTTAGGAGTTTACTTCCTTTCCATGTTTGACAGCAAGCACCTTCAAAGTAAGAGATTCATATTTATTATTCTAATTTAAAGAAAATGATAATGATTTATTTTGTGTTCTGTTTGCAGAACACAGCGTTCTGAACATCAACACAAAGTAGAAGAGCCTTAAACTGAAGGGTCAGTATATTATTTACACTGAAGGAGGCGTGCGTGGACAGGAAAGCGCTGACAGGTCAAATGGATCCCATGGAGCTGAGCAATGTCAACATCGAGCCTGATGATGAGAGCAGCAGCGGTGGAGAAAGTACTCAAGACAGCTACACAGGGATGGGCAGTTCAGAAAAGGCAGCAATAAGCAGGTATGGGGTTAAAAATCACCAGCTCCATGCAAAAGCAAGACTGACTTCTGGATGTGGAAAACAAGGGTGTCATTGGGAAGAACTGGATTTATTACAAATTGGAGATCACAATGGCCTGGATGTCAACATACCAATTTCCTGATATAGTAATAAAATGTCAACCCTTTGTGTGACTTCATGTCCTTTTCTCCACTAATAATGTTGCCTATAGTTTGATTATATTAGCCGAGCGTGAACTTCATTTTAGAACTATTGTTTCTCAGAGTCTTCTTCCCTTGCTTGCCCTTGAGTGTTGCTTCATCCCCAGGGTTCGATAGCGATCCTTTTCTAGGTGTCCTCTGAGCAAGCTCATTGTAACCATCATGGGGTCACCCACTCAGATGCCACATTCCCAGCCTGTTATTTCACAACCAAGTTTCAGATCATTATATTTAATGGCCTACTGATACACACTTCTACTGGATGACTAATGTGTCTGAAATACTTCATTCCTAAAGTCAGACTTGTTTAATATCAAATTCCTGTCATTCTCTTCAAAACCTGTTCCTCCTCAAGTTATCCCCATCCTGCTGAAAATCACCATCAACCTTGGAATCAATCAACTCAGGATCCATCGTAGATGCGTACCTTCTCCCAAACCACACATCCAATGGCCGTCTGTATACAGTCATTTTTACCTAACTAATATTTCAAATCACCTTCTTCTGTCTATCCATTCCATTGTCATCTTTAGGCTTTCATCCTCTCTCACTTGTCTGTCAGAGCAGCCCTGCTTTGTCTGTCCATCTGACATTCTGTTCTCTTCTGTCTAGCCCTTCTTACTTCCACAAGAGTAATCTTCTGTAATTGCATATTGGGTTATGTTCCGTCCTTGGATAAAGCTCTCCCATGAATCCACCTTAGCTATTAGATGCAACTGTACACTGCTTGGTATGTGAGGCCCTTCATGATCTGCCCCTGACCGACCTTACCTGTCCTGTTCTTGCCCTCCTCTTATGTACCCGCCTGTCTTCACTCATTCTGTTCCATCTGCTAGAATCCACCCACTTCCCTTTTCTTTCTTGTGATACCTCTCATTCTTCAAGAATCAGCTCAATGTCAGTTCTCCTGGGAAGCCTTCTCCAAATGCCTCTACTCCCCCAGTGATCATTCCTCCTTTGTGCAACCTTCCCTGCAATTAGATAATAATCATATCATTTTCACAGGTTAATGACCTCTGCACTATAGTTATTCAATAAGTAAGTTAATTTCCCACAAAGCATTATATAACACAAGTTGTACATAATTAAAGATGCTCAGAAGGGAATCTTTTGATCAAATCTAAGCCTAAAGTAAAAAATATTATCCTCAAGGTCTTCTTCATTCACATCATCCTAGAAGGGCTTTCAGGAGGAGGCATTCCTAGTAGGTCAATGCAAGGAATTTGAGGGTTGTTGAACTAGAGAGGCCATTGAGATATAAATCAGGGCAATTTGTAAATTGGGTGAGTCTTGTGGTAGATTCTGTGGGATAGGGACTTGACTTTAGAAAAGATCTATCTTCTTTGAGCTTCATTTAAAAGTATACACTAGAAAACCAACATCTACTTTTCTAAGGATTAAATGAGTTCCTGGAATACAAATGATATTCAATAAATGCTTGTGCATTTTCTTTCATGTCATGTCCCTTAGTAAATTGTTCAAAATCTGCAGGCTTTTTTTATTCTGAAAGGAATATACACAAATAAGAACTCAGCAGAGATTGCCTGAGCTGAAGGGGATATTGGAGCAATTCCATTTGGCCTTCAAAGCCCTAATGAAAAGAACCACAATGTTTTTGTTGTGTTTTATACAAGGACCACACACAATGACTTACCTTTAACTCCTGGCTCAAACACAGGTCATCATTTTGCAATTTTATGATCACTTTTAAAAGATAGGTTTTGTTTATGTTTGGTTTGGATTGAACCTTTAAATGTAAAGTTTTGAGAGATTCAACATATTGCATTTATTTGGGATCATTTTACTTATGTTTTCAATACATTATGGGTTTGGTACCAAAAACATTTGACACACTGGGGACATTTCTCATGTATTTTATATAATTTTGGCATGTTCTATGGCTATAACTCATCTCATGCCAAAATAGGAATATGCAAAATGCCTTAAAAGTGATCTGTTTTCTTTTAAATTTTAAATTTTAAAAATTACTCATGGACTAGAAATTCTAGTTTATTGATTAAAGCAAAAAATAGAACATTGAATATTCCTGAGTTTAAATTCCACTTTTAAGTGACACTTGTTTTTATAGTCCTTGGTCCTATTTTATCCTATTATCTCAGTTTCCGGCTAGGAGCCCCCTATAGCAGTTCCTCATAAAGCAAGTATATGAACTACAGACTATTAAAGTAAATCCCAAAAAGATGGTGGAGGGAGTGTGGAAATGGAAGAAGGCAACAGGTTTGAAGGCATTGTGTTTGCTGAGAGAAACATGGGGGAGGAGAACAGCAGGAAATATTCTCAGTCTGTACACTCAGAACTCTCTACCCTTGGAGGCTCCAGGAATAGCACATAACGCTTGGTGGGTTTTGTCTACTGTATCTCTGCACCTTGTCTTGCTCTGTATCCTCAGAGAATGACTCTGTCATTCTCATCCTCACCAGATGATTTTCAGGATTAACTCTTAATTATGAAAGATAATTCGTACTTCTCTCTAATAATAATTCTTTTCCACTTCATTTCTAAGGTTTATTTTAGTAAAGGGTGAAAGATTTATATATTCCGAAGAGAAAAATAGAGCATTATAAGTGTTATTTTCATAAAATACACTCCAATTATTCTATCTTACTCTGTAATGCAAGAAATTCCCCTAAGAATTGCAATCTTATTCATAAAGCATTTTTTTTTAAGAATTGTGCATAGTTGAATATTTTATGTAAAACAACAAAAAATCCTGTGGTATTTTGGTGGCTAAAAATGCAACACTGGCAGCTGTTTCATTAGCCAAGCCTTTGGAAATGTGGCTGGCCCCCTGTCTATAGCCTCTAAGCTTCTGGCATGTAACTCCAAAAGCTTACCAGTACAGTAAGGAGGTGGCATTAGGAACAAAGTGTGCAGCTTCCAGGCTGTGCCCAAGTAGACCATAATTGCAATGTTCTGTGCCTAGCAACATTTTGGAGTCCCATTTCCCTCCCAACTCCTCTATCAAGTCATTGAACTTTTTTTTTAATTAACAATTTTCTTAGTTTAATCCTTTATCTAATGGTGACTCAGGTACATTTTCAGAGTAATCAGCACACACACACACAAACAACCAAATTAATACAGAGCTACCATCTAACATATGTATCTATAGATATAAATAAACAGAGCCAGCAAAGAGGAAATGCCAGCTCTAGGGCTCTGTCCAGGCTGTGTGATGTCATGGAAGGCTATGGACTTGAGTCTGGCAGTGGAGGCAGGGCTCCTTCACTTTTCTGAGCCACAGTTCTCTCATCTTTGGAGTAGGATCATGAAAGTTCCTCTCACAGGGATATTTTGGGCATCTAGGAGAAGAGGATTACAGTGCCTAGGCATTTAATGAATAGTTGTTAAAGTAATAAAATCATCTGATTATGGCATGGTGGTAGTTTAGAAAACTCAAAATCATGATCCTGTACCCTTTCTTTGGAAGGGAAATAAGTGGGTGCAAAATCAGTTCCAATTCGTCTCTTCCTTGCGTCGTTAATATGGGAAAGAAGAAATGTGGCAGAAGCAATTTTTCAACTAAAAATAATATTTCCTTCCTTCATGACATCTTCTCTCCCTCCCCAAATCACTTCATAAATGGAGCTCAGTTGCTAGCCTGGAAGAAACACTGGTGTGAAGGAGAAGAAAATAGGTTCTAGGTGTTTTGTCTCCTACATTGATTTTTGCTCTCCTATTTCAGTTACTTAGATCACCCAAAACATAAATATTACTTAGAGTGAGTATTTACATAGATTTTGTTACTTTCTTATTTTCCCTTTTGTGTTTAGTCAATTTGCTAATGAAGATGCTGAAAGCCAGAAGTTCCTGACAAATGGGTTTTTTGGGGAAAAGAAGCTGGCAGATTACGATGATGAACATGTAAGTTGAATCTATGCTTTCAGGAAATAAACAGGTCTGAGGGTGTCTGATGTACCTAGGTCTCTGTGGGAAAACAATGTGACTGAAATTTTCCGAGCCTTGGTCAGCACATTCTCTGTTTATTCAGGCCCTTACTGGAATAAGGACTTGTTTTTCCTGTTCGCCATATGGCTGCATAAATCATTTATGAAATTTATTTGTTTTTTGGAGAAATCATTCTAACCCAAATGTAATCTGCTGTCATACATGTTTTCTCTTTTATATTACACCACCTGTACTTTTTTTCCTTTTTTTTTTTTTTTTACTGAGTTCTATGTTAAAATCAAGCATCACATTCCATTTAAAAGTACATGCTTTTATTGAAGTTGAGTAATAAGATGATTTTATCTTAGTCTTTGTTTTGGTACTGTAATCACCAGGAGAGGTAATGTGAAAATAAGAATGACCCAGGAAAAGATGGGTCCTTTGGCCAACGTTTGCTTATGGTACATTCCTTTCCTTCAAGCATCCTGGAACGACTTCCTTTGGAATGTCCTCATTCAACCTGAGCAACGCCATCATGGGCAGTGGAATCTTGGGCTTGTCCTATGCCATGGCCAACACAGGGATCATACTTTTCATGTAAGTATCTGGATTTTGTGATGAGGTCTGTCCACACCTGCTGCTCTTTCAGTTAACACTCTGAAATGTGATCTTGGTGGGCAGGAAGAATCTTGCTTTTAGATAAAACAGCAGCCTGTGAAGTAACTAGAGCCATCTAATCATAGTACTTGCTCCCCCAACTATATGGTAGACACTAGCATTAGTGGAGACACCGCTGGTGGAGCAGCCCTACTAGTCCAGAGAAACCATTTTACAAGGATCTCAGTGTTTAATATATGCCTAAAGTAATTGTTTAGTAGTCAAAAAGATATTATCCAAAAGCAAACCTGATTTTTTTTCCACATTTTTAGAGAAAGTAGCCCATTCAATCAGGCTTAGGAGCCCTAAATGCCTTGGTGCTATCTCATGCCCTGTTCCCTGTGCCCTTGGGCAGCAGATACATGGAGCACACTTTCCTTCTCTCTGTCCCATGAAAGTGCAATGTGCCTTCTCACCACTGGGCCTCTGCACATGCTTTGGAACACTTTTCCTTTCTTCTTCATCAAGTTAACTTTTCATATGTCATCTCAACTTCACCTTAGTGCGGCCTTCCCTCACTTAACCTAATCCATTATATACGCACCACAGCTTTAGTATTTTAGTGTGTCTAATTCACTTGATTAATGTCCATTTCCCTTGCTAGACTATAAGTTCCAGAGAGTTGAGCCCACCTCCCTAAGACCTGGCTCAGTGCTTGGCTCAGAGAATCTTTGCTAAGTGACAGAGCTTATTCCTAAACCTGTGAGCTAAGGGTAGTAGCCTCACTTAGCTGACCTGTAGAATGGATAAAACATCATGACAGACAATCACAGGCATTTATGTGCAAAATGGACATTCTGGTATTTGTCAAGACACGGTTGACAGCAGTGGAATTCTTCACAAGAATAAAGTCTGAAGCATCAATGTGAACACAAATCCTGATCCCAAATGCAAGCTCGAGAGTTCACTGTCTAAGAATGCAACATTTATATTATAAATATATGCTATTTATGTTCTGAACATCACGTGTGATTAGATAATCATACAGCTATTTGAGGGCTGAGGATCAGGACTATAAATATTTATCTTGTGTTAGTTCTTTAAATTATTTTATACATAATATTCTTTAGCTGAATGAATTTTTATATCAACTTAATTTTTTAAGCCATGGTTGAAACAAAGTTGCTCTTTTGTTATCTGATTTCTTCCTGGAAATGTATTCTACATTTGTATGCTTTTGCAATGTGTACTACCTCTAAGACAAAAAGACTGCCTTCTCCTTATTAATTATACATGCCATTAAAATTAATTAGGAAGTTAACACAGATCATTGATGAATAGAAATAGGAAGCACTTCCCCCAATTCTAGAGCCATAGATCATTTTTACAGGAGGAGAATATTCTGGTTTTTGAAAGGGGCTCATTTTAAACCTATAAACATTTAGTAGATTAATTTAGCAAGAGTAAATAAATCACTAACACATAGGATCTGTTTTGTGTGTCCAGTTAGCTCAAAATAGATTTAGCTGTCTCTCTTTGTTCACAAGTGACACTGTTTCATTGGTTTTACTGGTAGTATTTTCTGCCAAAGTAAGTACATGTTTAAAATACAGGAGTGCTTATTTTTCCATTGAACAAAATTGTGTAATCTGGTTTACATAATTCTTTAGAAACAGGTTAAATTAATTAAGCATATGGGAAAATAAATGAATAAGTCATTGATTAGACAGTTCTGGAAAATAAGAGCACAATAAAGCTTGAGTACTTACAAAATGTTTAATTCATGTTCTAAATGTGCATTTGCAGCATTGATCTCATTGGGAATTACGAAAGGATTGAATCAGTTGTTGGGAAAATGTTTAGTGTGTTCTCATCATGCAAAATAAACACTAAGATTTTTTTTTTTAAATTCAGGTAAAGGTTTGTAATGTCCCTTAATTTATTATGTAGTTAATTCTTCTACACTCTTATTTTTATACTCTGTTCCAAGATTTAGAGAAATATTGATCAGCATATAAACTAAAAAAAGTAAAGAAACAATACACACATACTTTGGTTTCTGGATTCCTAGATTTTAGATTTCTTGTATAGCTCTTCAATTCTAAATGTTGTTGCAAATATGATAAACCTATTCCTGTATGCTGAGTAAGCAAATGTAGTATTTGCTAATTTTGCTATATGTTTAGTTTCTAAGTTATAATGCAGATTCTGTAATTGTATAACCCTAAAAAATTTTAGGAATTTCAGCATGTAGGTTTAGACTTGTAAAAATATAGACAATTCTAGATGTGTGACATATAAGGAAGAATGTGGCATTCTGAAAAGAATTTCTCAGTGTTCCCCAAGCACACATACTTTTGGAAAGCTATTGATTGAAAGTGATCAGTTATTTTAACATCTAACATTACAATATCTCATTTATTATATAAATTTCATTTTTTACTCTCTGTTCCCTTTACAGAATCATGCTGCTTGCTGTGGCAATATTGTCACTCTATTCAGTTCACCTTTTATTAAAAACATCCAAGGAAGGAGGTATGCACCCTTAAATTCGTATCTTAAGATAATAAAATATCTTCGTATTTTTTGATTCTCATAAAAGAGTATTTCAGTCTATGTGGCTCCATAGCCAGAGATGATTTAGTCAGTTTCACATTTCCTTCTCTTCTAGCCACAGTGACAAATCTCTCAAGGTTTTTAGTTATTTGGGCAAATTGCTCTGGTTCAAGCCCAATAGACAAAGAGAGACTTATCATGGATGACAGAAATAATTATTTTGACGGATACTTGCAGCTCAAGTGCCTGACGCCATCACTTCCTATCTGGGCAACATTTTACTATATTGTTTCTTGATTTTTGACATTGCTTCATTTGGGTTTATAACTTCTAGGTAATGTTTACTTACATGTTTGATACTCTGGTGCAGAAATACTTTAGTATTTCTTCTAACAAGGTTATTTTATCTTTCATTGTAGGGTCGTTAATTTATGAAAAATTAGGGGAAAAGGCATTTGGATGGCCAGGAAAAATTGGAGCTTTTATTTCCATTACAATGCAGAACATCGGAGGTAAGGGGGTATAGCTTTCAATAAACCACATAAACTTTCCATAGAATATTCAATGGATAAGAAAACTCTTATGGCAATGAACAAGCACCTTAAAGATTAAAAAAGAATAAATAGCTGTTTAGATGGTTCTTAAATCTTCGAACTAAACTTTCTGGAATAGATTTGCTATTCATTTATAATTAAAAATAGCAATATCTAGGAATTTAATGGTGTATAAATATCTACCAACTGAATTTTAAAAAAATTTTTTTTAGTTGTAGGTGGACACAGACCTTTATTTTATTTATGTGGTGCTGAGGATTGAAGCCAGCGTCCCGCACATAAGCTAGGCGAGCACTCTACCGTTAAGCCACAACTCCAGGCCACACCAATTGAATTTTTCAGTTTATATAGGATAAAACCTTTCTTGATCTCAAATGCTATTATGATGTTATGACTTTTTAAGTGAAAGCACTAATGCTTGTTACTGGCATTGGCAAAATAGTTAATATGCCATAATTATGGCTGAGTTCCTTTCATAGGGTAAGTGGGGGCGGGAATAGCCAAATGCTGTGGCCCTTGAGCACAGTTGGCATAGAGCCAGCCCATGGAAGAGGCTTTTTAGTTATCCTAAGGCCAACACCCATCTTCACATCAGAAGCTCTATAACAACAGATTGCTTGGTCTACAGATTCTTATAATCCCAGCTGAATTAGAATTCCCATAGTAGAGCCTAAAAATAAATATTTCCATCAGTGTTCTGAATGATACTCACCAGCTTCATATGAGTTCTGTGATGTCTTTGACCCCCAGAAGGCATCAAATAAGGTATCCTCTGGCGACATCTCTAATGTGGTCCGAACTATATCCCCACATAATAGCTCTTATTTCCTTGCCTCCTACTCAGTCCCCCCACCTGCTGTTCTATTCCTGGGTTCTTTCTTCTATAAACACCACCAGCAACCATCCAGTTTTTTAAGCCAGAAACCTTGTGTCAGCCTAAACTTTTCCATCTTTCCCTGACTCAGCATATGCCATCAAATATCACGTCCTGTCCACTTGATCTCTTACTTCTCAAGTCCCTCCTCTCCTTTTATCCTCATGACCATAGAGATCTGCAATATCAGCTCATACTATTGCAATAGTCTTCTGGTCTTCCAGCATTGAGTTTCTCCTCCTCCATGTCTGATTCATCCTCAAGATAAACTTTCTCAAAGTCAGATCGAGTCCTGTTTCTCCTATGCATAAAATTCCTCATTATTTTTAAGGTAAAATTAAACTCATTGGCCGGATATAAGGGTCTTCATTACATTCCTCTGCTGACCTTTTTATGTCCATATCTATCCCCCCATTATCAATCCCATACATTTGAGACAGGCATCAAACCATATCAAATTGTATTCAGTCTCTCAATAGTACTAGTATTAATTTACCATGTTAAAAATTCCTCTATGAGGGTTTCTTTACACTCACTGTTTCCTCTCCTTCAGTGTCTCTTGAAGACCTCCAACCCTGACAGATACACCCCGACTAGTCTTTTCTCCTCTCTCTCTTCCCCAGGTCCATAGCTGCTCTAGGCTGTTAGATTCCCCTAGGCTCTCTTGGTCCTGTTTGTATATATTTGTACAAATGTTACTTTTTTAAAAAGGTATTTTTAAAACATTTGAGGGAAAAAAATGTTTTTGGAGTCTATTGCACCTGCTTTTGAGACTTTTTCTATCATTTTCTGTGACCTTGAGAAAAATCACTTTATTCCTTTGAGTTTAATTTTTTCACCTATGAAAGTGAGTAATACTCTAACCTCATAAGGTCAATGTGAGGAGGAAATAAATAACATATGGCTAGTTCAGAACCTGTTTCCCTCCTCCCTCTTCTTCAATAGCCACATCTCTAGAGCCCCTCTGATCACTTTAAATGGTATTTTTATAATTATAAAATAAATTATGCTAATTGTAACTAAAACATTATATAAATATATAAAATACCCAGAAAAGTTTGTGTAAGTCACCCTCAGAAATAACTGCTCCAGGTTTTCTTCTACTCCAAATTTAACAAATGTATTGATATTGTTAATACTGGATCATCTTATAAATACTGATTTGTGACTTGCTGTTTTTATTTAACAGTGTGCCTTAGATGAATTTGTATGTTATTTTTCTCTGTGACTTTCAACTTTTGCATTATCAATATGTATCATATTTGGTTTACCAAATGCTTTTTGATGAATAGTTGAATCATTTCCAGTGTTTCACTATTACAAATAATGCTGCAATCAATAAATCTGCACAGAGACTTTGCAAGAAATCAACCCTTTTGATAAGTGAACTCAGTGGAGTTACCTAGGATTTCTGAAATGTAGCAATTCCTTTAATAACCTCTATCCAACTATACCTGCCCTTGAGAATGGACAACTGTAATCAGATAAATAAAATCTAACCATATCTTAATGTGTTTTCTTTCTTATCTTTTTTCTTTTGGTACTGGGGATTGAACCTAGGACCTTAAACATGCTAAAGATGCACTTTTAGCTTAGCTCCCAACCCCCAATTTGGTTTATTTCTCTTCATAGCTTTATACGTTATTATAGTCTTGGGTAGAATTTGGCAGTAACACCAAGATTGTCTCATTCATTTTACTGGATTTGGGCCATAAACATCTAAGTCCCTGAATCCCACCAAATAGACTGCTTTACATTTGGTTCACATATTTAGCCTTATCAAGATTTAAAGTATCAAGCATCTCATAGGATCACCTCATAGTTGATCTAATTTATTTGTTTTGACAACTAAAATAACCAGACATAAGCATATTTTGCCATGAACTCATCAAGCTGTGTGCTGGCAGCAGCAGTCATTCAAAGTGTAGCCACTGTTGTGCTTCTAAATATGGAATAAACTATGCAGTGGGCTGTGTCAAGCCACACACAAGAAGTGTGGCTTTAAGAGAGTGAGATGAAATTTCATAATACCACTGCAAAAAATGCTCTCACTTTTGTTACTTTATATGATTGGTGTATATTTGGCTTAAGTAAAACCACTTGTATTTTTTGATTAAGCAACTCCATGTTTGGAACACTTCATTTCTGCTATATTGAGTACCAAAAATTTAACATTCACCATAGATGTTTTAACACTTAGCAGAATAATGTTGACATTACCCAAACAGATCTGGATAATTCTGAATTTTCAAAGGCCAAACACATTAACAGTGGTGACATCACTGAAAGTCAGCAATTAATAGCTCTAAAATTGGATGGGACCTCACTGAGTCAGTTAATCAGAAATATCTCCTGTTTACGCTCCATAAGACTCAGCTTTAGCCAAGGTCTTTGTAAAGATTAACTAAATAGTGTGTACAGAAGATGCATCTGGTATTATAGAAATCATTTCACTTTGACAACAGAGCAGCACTGATCCAGAAGTCAAGAAACTTGTAGTTTAGATGTGTTCTCCCCTTTATAAGCTGTGTGATCTTGGATATGTCATTGAACTTCTCAAAATCTTTATCCTCAGCTGCAGAATAGGATAACAACATATACCTCATCATCTCACAGGACTTTTTGGATGATCAAATGAAGTAATTTGCAGAACTAAACAATGCCAGGAAATTTTTATCACCATTATTACTTTCATTAAAAGTTAAGGAAGTATTTTAAAACTGTAGTTCAATTTACAACTTAGATATCTGTTTTAAATAAATGTCTATTAGCAAAAATTCATGAAGAGGATGTAGCATACCTTCAAAGCTTCTATGTAAAATTTGTTAGTTTTATTTTAAATTTTGACTTTGTACCTTGTATCAAATAACAATTTAGTAATGTATTTCACTGAATGGATAGATCTGGTAAAGGGATGTTGCATAAATCTCTACAGTTTTCACAAACTATGTTATATATATGAGAAACATGTTTATTATATATATAACGTGTTATATATATACATAGATAGATATTATATGTTATATATATATATATATATAAATTTTCCAAGATTTTCAAAACAATACATCATTATTCATATATTACTTACCAAGATTCTGATGAAGTTTTGCCACTTTGTGTGATTTCTTATTTGGACAAAGGGAGACTAGAATATGGAGTAGAAAAGGAAACTCCCAAAAAACTTACTTGGCAAATAAGGGGAGAAACTGTCATCTTTTATATTTTTTTTCTTGGTGCTAGTCATATATAATAGTGGGGTTCTAGTCATATATAATAGTGGGGTTCTAGTCATATATAATAGTGGGGTTCATTTTGGCATATTCATAAATGCATATTAGATGATTTGCTCCATTTCAATCCCTACTACTTCCCCTTCCTCCTCCAATCACCTTTCTCTATTCTGTTACTTACTTTTATCTATTTAGTGTTTTTAATTGGTACATTATAGTACCAAAAACTTAACATTCACCATAGATGTTTTAACACTTAGCAGAATAATCATAAAAGTGGGATTCATGTGTGAACATAGCATAATTTGTTCAGTTTCATTCCACAGTTCCCTTTCCTATCCCTCCTCCATACCCTTTGATCCTCTTCCTCTGTTCCACTGTTCTTCCTTCTCTTTTCATGAGGTCCCTCTTTTCTTTAATTTCCTTATTTCTCTTTAGCTTCTGCATATGAGAAAAAAAAACATTTGATCCTTGACTTTCTGAGCCTGGTTTATTCCACTTAGCATGATGTTCTCCAGTTCCATTCATTTACCAGCAAGTGTCAACAATTTCATTCTTCTTTATGGCTGAGTAAAATTCTGTCATGTATATATACCATTATTTTCTTTATCAGTTTGTCTGTTGATGGGCACATGGGCTGGTTCCATAACTTGGCTATTCTAATATTCTTTTATCAATCCAGGAAGACTCTATATCTAATCACCAGTGGTCTGAGACTGCTTGTCCCTCAGGGAGATCACAGAGGATCAGACAGGTCTTCACCTGGGGAAGGCCAGAGTGATGTAGAGTCTCTTCAGCTCTGCCCTACAATTCCGCCCTTAGTCTTTTGGCCCATGGCTTATGTTGTCAGACCCTGACACTAAACCTGGATCACTCAATACCATAATAATTTATAAGTAATGAGGGCAAAAGTTTGAAGTTGAAGCTTCCCTGAAAACTTGGAGCTGAATCTAACACAGAATTGACATTGACCCCCTGAGCAACGGTCCACATGTGAGAGCTACAGGGCCAAGAGTCTATTTTAAAAAAGAATTTGGAAGCACTGCAGAATCCACGGTGGCTTCTCTTTCTGTTTGGAGGATTAGATGATCATCTTGCCAAGAAGAATGGATGTTCCAAATGTCATGACTCCTTAAAACTTGCATGTGACTATAGTGCCATGCACACCACTAAGCTGTCACATTTTCCATTTTAGCAATGTCAAGCTACCTCTTTATCATTAAATACGAACTACCTGAAGTAATCAGAGCATTCATGGGACTTGAAGAAAATACTGGGTATGTCTTATGTTCTCTTTATAATATCAAATGACTCATTCTACTTCATCTTTTCTGATCCTAATATCCTCATCTCTTTTTCTGTCCCAGGGAATGGTACCTCAATGGCAACTACCTCGTCATACTTGTGTCTGTGGGAATTATTCTTCCACTTTCTCTCCTTAAAAATTTAGGTAAAGTCATTTTCTAATTGAAACTATTTTTACTTTTATTTCATATTCTAATAGGTAAGCTGTTTGCGGATGCCATATTCACCTTCAAAATATTTCTGCTAACTCCTAGGTTACCTTGGTTATACTAGTGGATTTTCTCTGACCTGCATGGTGTTTTTTCTCAGTGTGGTAAGTGACTTGTGATCCCAATCCTTGTAGCTTGGGAATCAAGAAATGGTGTGTGTGACTAAATTGATGTCCCCATTTTTTGTCAAGCACTTCACTAGTTAGAAATAGTTCCTGCATCATGAGCAATTTTATTGTATTTTAATTTGGAAAAGGAAAAGAGTAGTCACAAGTTTAAAAATAGTTGAGTTATAGTTAGAATGTCAAGGCCACTGCTAATGGTATGTTGTAGGCACACTGGATGAATATTTGGATAAGAGTACATGATATTAACCCAATATTTAGAAAAAGGGAGAAAAAAGTGAGGAGGCCCACAGGAGACATGAATAGATGATACCATATCTGCACAAACCAGATATTTCCTTTTCCACAATTCTATCCAGTCATAGAGGGCAACAACAGCGGGATTAAAAATGAAGTTCTATCCCTATCTTAAAAGGAGAAATTTCTTGCGTTATCATGGATGCAAAATGTATAAAGCATTTCCCCAAAGAAACAAAGGAGGAAGGAATTGTTGACGACCCATGTTGTTATTAGTTTGAAGAAATAAAAGATATGAAACGTAGCAAGGAAATGATCATCTTTGTCATGAAAGGGCATGAAAAGTGTAGAATGGGCTCATGCAAAATAAGGTCCTGTGGACTCGAGGGGGCAGTGCTGCCAACCACAGTTCCTGCCCTTTCCTTAGGAGAGAGGCTAGAGGGAGTCCTCATCCGTAGTTCATTAATCTAAATGGAATCTACAGTTGAGTTCCCTCATCCCCGCCCAATGAGCCACACATAGGGATATTTATTTCACTGTTTTTCCTTAAAAGCTTGAATCTGTGTTTCTTTCTTTCTTTTTTTTAATAACTGGGTTTAGGTGATTTATAAGAAATTCCAAATACCTTGCCCACTGCCTGTTTTGGATCATAATATTGGAAATCTGACATTCAACAACACACTTCCGATGCATGTGATCATGTTACCCAATAACTCTGATGATACTGGCGTGAACTTCATGATGGATTACACCCATCGCAGTCCTGCAGGGCTGGAGGAGAATCAGGCCAAGGGCTCTCTTCATGGCAGTGGAGTGGAATACAAAGCCCACGGTGATGACCAGTGTCAACCCAAATACTTTGTATTCAACTCCCGGGTAAGTGAGAGACCCAGGCTCTAATGAGCCCAGTAATGCAGATTCTGAGTTTTTATTTCATGAACTGAGATGGTCTGGAATTGCCATCTGTGTTGAAATGCTAAACAGGTGTGTTTTCTTTGTTTTACAGACGGCCTATGCAATTCCTATCCTAGCATTTGCTTTTGTATGCCACCCTGAGGTCCTTCCCATCTACAGCGAACTTAAAGAGTAAGGCAGCCATCATTTTAGCTCTTAATTTGCTATGAAAATGTGCTCATATGTTCAATGGTGCTTTACCAGGAATCATGGTTTGTAGCGCTCTCGTGGGAGTCAGTGCTATATCCATTTATAAGTAACATGCTTTAACCAGCAAGGTATGAGTCAGTCTATGCACTTCATTACCTTATCTGCTTCCTTGTCTCCTCTCCCTCAACCATAATGGTTCAGGGGAGGGGTTCAGGGCTGGTAGAAAAAGGAGCCAATGGGTTTAATGATTTTGGCAGGTGTAGGGTATTTAAATAGGAATTTTGGTGAGAAGTAGTGATGTAAACAGATTGGAAATGATAATATGCATGAAGACCAAAACTTATGATTATAGTAGCCTTAATAAGTCATTGATGTCACTTATAATCAGTTCTTAACCTTTGTCTAAAGAGATGAGCCATTATATGGCCTACATTGTCTTTTTCTGTCTTGAAAATCTTATTTCTTTCAGCCGATGGCCTATGATTCATTCATAGTCTTTTTCCTTTGAGGTTGTTGGCACCTACATGGGGACCAAGTGGGTATGAGTCCACTTTAGCAGCTTTCCTCTTTACCTTTAAGTTAGGGTATCACTCAGTGATTCTCAACATTTTTATCCCCAGACAATAGCGTTACTTTTCCCTATAATTCTGATTGACCTCATAACAAATTTTTGGAACACCTTCAGTTATTTTGATATCTTTGATTTACTGTGAAAACCACATATAGCACATACTTCAGAAGCCTAGCAAGTGACTCTAGGTAGGTGCATCCCTCTGGTGTGGTCTCTAGAAGTGGTTCACATAACAGTATCAAGCTTTGTCATAGTCTGAACTCTTGGCAGTAGCAAGAGGTGGTTCTTTTCCTCATTAAACTCATCTCATCATGAAATACAAAAGCTTTCTACATTAAGAGCCAGTTTGATTCTTATGTTAATTACATTTTTAATTATTTAGTAGATAAGTTTACTTATTGATAGACCCTCTTCTAGGGAAATAGTTGTTTCTAAAACTAAAGAAACAATGTTTAAGAAAAAAGGAAACAAATCATCCTTAGCTCTATGACAAGTTTAAATCAGCTGTAACTTTATATACCAGAAATGTGGTTTCATAATGAGCAATAGACATAATTATTTTTATTTTAATTTTAAATAGTGATGTTTCATAAGTTTAAGAAATGAAATTCAATGTTCTTTTTATCTTTAGTCGGTCCCGGAGGAAAATGCAAACAGTGTCAAATATTTCCATCACAGGGATGCTGGTCATGTACCTGCTTGCTGCCCTCTTTGGCTACCTAACCTTTTATGGTAGGTCACTCTGTCAAAGTGATTTGTTTGTGCACATCCTGGTTAGACTGAAAATCCACCTGAGTAGGTGTAACGCTTTTAATTACCTCTATAAGCAGCCTGATGAATAGATGATGCACATTCAATTAACTCAATTTTACCTTTGTCATCTGATCTAAGGAAATGAGCCCTGGACCAATCTGGCTAACAGGTTATAACAATTTGTGAATTTTTGTGTTTTTTATTTTATTTTTTAAAGAGAGAGAGAGAGAGAAGAGGGAGAGACAGAGAGAATTTTTTTAATATTTATTTTTCAGTTTTTGGTGGACACAACATCTTTATTGTATTTTATGTGGTGTTGAGGATCGAACCCAGTGCCCCACACATGCCAGGCAAGCACGTTACCACTTGAGCCACATCCACAGCCTGTGTTTTTTATTTTTAATATCCACATATTAAATCATTTTCCTTCAGATATAAATTATATTTCTTTGCTAGACTTCCTGGTCCATCTCAGGCTAGAAGCAATGAGAAAGAATCCATTGCATGTGACAAGGCTCTTTTGATGGAATACCTACCTAACTGCCAGGCAAATGGCATAAAAATTATAAATTCTTAAGTTTGAACCTGCTTCTTATTTATTCACTACATCAAATCTGGGAGATTGTAATACTAAGAATTATTTCTGGTTTATATAATTCTCTTCTATTATAGTGAGGGGTTTCCTAAGAAAGAAAGGATATAGCAGAATTTTCTTCAATATGGGAATGTTCTTAAAAAATAGCATTATGCATTATACATTTTCTCTTTAGCATCTTAATAATATACAAAAGGAGTAGAATTTTTATATTCCTTCGATGAAGCCCAATAGAAAAATTACATGGAAGCAAATAGACCTAGAGCTATATTCACACTAGTCATGCTGGTCAATATCATCTTGGGTCTAACTTTCCTGACTGAGTTGGTAAATTAAATTCATTGCATGACAAGTTGGGGAGGAGATGACTCAGGAGTAGGCCACTATTTGCTTAGCTTTGTTTTCTATTTGACTATTAATCAAGCACTCACTTTAGATTGGGCATTAACTTATTGTTGCTTATGGGTTAATGAAAGTCAAGGCCAAGGGCTGAGGCTGTAGTAGCTCAGTGGTAAAGTGCTTGCCTCGCATGTATGAAGCTCTGGGTTCAATCCTGAGCACCACATAAAAAACAAATAAAAACAGATACTGTGCGTTCATCTACAACTAAATAAATGTTTAAAAAAAAAAGAAAAGAAAGAAAGTCAGGGCCAATACCATTGAAATCATTTTTATCCCTTTGTATCTGATTTTGAGAGGGGTAATGGGAAAATCAAACTATATTTGCTTCCATAAATATCTCCATTTGTGTCTGGGATGCTGAGTGAATATATTTTCAAGATGAGCATCATCTTAATCTTAGAGCAATATTCATGGGAAACCCTATAAAAATCATACTAATTCTTTCTTACATGTTGCTCTAATGAGTTTCTTAAGACAAATACAAACTTTAAAAAGTCCAAGAGTATATATGCCAGTGTCATGATGGAGTTGTAACTGTTGAAACTGAAAAAGTGTTAGAAGTCAGTAGTCCCAGAATTTCCAGAATGTACTTGGAGAAGCTGTGTCAGGGGTGGCTGGACAGAAGGGATGTGTGGATAATATGGGATGGACAGTTTGGTGAGGTCTGGACCTTTTATCTCTTTCAACAAGAGTACCTCAGCATGGTTTGTGATGCTTCTCTATTGCAGACATTGATTTATTATGATGCAAAACAAGTTAAGAAGCACCTGATCATTTTTCTTTTAGCTTCTGCAACTTTTTTAAGCTTCAAGACTCCTTTGTTCATTTGACCAAAAAGCCTCATGGCTTTATAAGGTTAAAGATAAGATACAAATGTGGACATCTGGATTCCCAGACCTGAGTCTTTTTTCCCTGTCCCAGGTTCCCTGCATAAAATGTGTCCTTGAGTAACCAGTGGCAACTTGGTAACACTAGGCAAACTCATTCTCTTCTTGTAGGAGAAGTTGAAGATGAATTACTTCATGCCTACAGCAAAGTGTATACATTTGACACCCCTCTTCTCATGGTACGCCTAGCAGTCCTGGTGGCAGTAACACTAACTGTGCCCATTGTCCTGTTTCCAGTAAGTACATAAAGCTCCAATGAAAGAATCCTGTTTAATCCATAGATCAGTACTATGTTCTGACTTGATGAAGATTTAATTATCATGTGAGTTTGCAATTGCAATGCCCGAGGACATTGTGCTTTTTACAGCATTTTGGAGTCACTAACTAAGTCACTAAGTTGGAGTCACTAAGTTGATCATTTAAGATGTATACACAGCCAACATTTTTAAGCAGTGTTTTTTAGGTCTGGGAAAAAGAATCATGAAATTTACTTTTAAATTCAAAAAGCAGAACTTAAGCTGCTGTCTTGTGGATTAGTAAAACTGAGGAGGAGTTCCGATGACTTCTGAAACTTGAAAGCAAAGACCACTTTAAGTGTCAGATCACATTGCATTTTCACAACAGTTTTAAAGGCATTTCATTTTTTTCTAGTTTCTTGTGCTGCAATAACATCCAAAAATTGTTTTATTTAATCCAGTGATTTGAAGGCCAATGAGAAGGGGATTCATGTTAAGTAAATTAATTACTAGAACAGAAATTCTTAAAAAATAGTTCTGTTACCCATCATGTATCTTTTCCCCCACCTCCCCCACCAAGACTGACACATGCCTCTGGCAGATTTGGCCTGGGGGCATCCCTCCTGAGCATTTGCCATTGCCATCAGTCTGTTGTGAGATGACGGAGGAGAGCTGACCGGGGCTGGGTGAGTTAAAACCACCACATATGGATAAACACAGGTCTTCACCCGCCTGCCAGCTCTTCTCCTTTCATAAACACTGAATTTGCCCATTCATTTTAGGGGCAAAAACATAAGTGACACAGTATCTGGGATTATTATGTACAGAATGTTCCATAGAGGGCCTGGTGTAGGAGGACTACTTATATAATGACACTGTGGTCACTTTAAATGCAGCTTGTGTGCTGAAATATATTTTGGCACATTCCTTTTTCATGAGCACATGAAATCAGATCCTTATTACTATGGTGGCTAATAATTTACTCTTAAATAATGTCTTGCCTGTAATGCATCTGAAAGTAATTCAAATGACACACACATAGAGCTTTAGCCTAAAATCAGCTCCAGCTTGCATACAAAGCAAAAGACAGCTGTAAACCAGAAGGTGTGCTACAGGATAAAATTTCCAAGCAAGCAGTTTCAATGAGAAAAGAATATTTGGATTTCTTCTTTTTTGTGGGTCAAGATACCACTGAATTTCAGAGGAGGCACTCACAGCCTTGTTGAATCAAAGCATTTGATGAAGGAACTCTGTTGTATGCTTCTGTGTTTCTTTATTCATAAGCCTTAAACAGTGTTTTCATGCTGGGTCGTCAAGAGATTGATGGATGTGGCCATGATCATGTAGCTAGGATGTGGAGCTTATTGCATAATACCACCAATGGCTGTTACTATTGGAATGGGAAGTCAAGTCAGCCTATTTATGTATTGATTGATATCTGGGATTAAACACAGGGGCATTTAACTACTGATCCACATCCCCAACCCCTTTTTATATTTTATTTTGAGACAGGGTCTTACTAAGTTACTTAGGGCTTTGCCAAGTTGCTGAGGTTGGTTTTGAACTTGTAATCCTTCTGCTTCAGTCTCCCCATCTGCTGGGATTACAGCATGTGCCAGTGTGCCTGGCTAGCCTTTCATTTATTAGTGAGCATTTCACCTCACCATCAAAAAGCCTCATCTCCCCATGTGAGAGAGAAAGCACTGGAATACATCTGATCATGAGGGACAGTAATAGTTTGTAAACATTAAAAGCCATTGAAACCAAAATTGGTCTTGAGAACCAAAATTGAGAAGAGTAACTAATCACTATCTTTCATTATGCACTTTCCCTTAACATTAGCATTTAGGCACCATTTTGCACAGTGTTATGGTGGAATGATCTGCGTAAGTACCCTCTTCCCCACTGGCTTACAAGTCCCTGGAGACTGGGTATGTGAATGGTGACTGGCACAAAGGATGGGCCCTTTAACATTTGCTAAGGAACAATGGCTTTTAAAATTTACCTTGCATTTTCTTGAAATGTATAAACTGCTTTTTCTAGTAAAAGCATAGGCTATTTTCCTTGCTGATGTACCATGAATTCAATTTGGGTGAGGATCTGAGTTAAGTGAATCAAAATCCCTGTGAATGTGATGGATTCATCCACATCTGTGATGGTGACAGATAAGTGGGTGCAACCTCTTTGTCCCAATCAAATCCTACAAGACTAAGTTCAGAGACTTTTTCGCTGTGATAGAAGTTGTTAAGTGTTGCCTTTGGTTATTTGCTTTCTTATAATTTAGGACCAAGATTTTCAGTGTGTCAAATGCTGAGCCACAGCATAGTTCTCCTGCCAGGATTCTTTGCATTAAGAAATCCTTGACCACTAAGAATTTTACTTGCTTTGATGTTCCCATGTTAAGACAATAAAACAAATAAACCTAGTCTGGATTAAAATGTATCAGTGTTAGGTATTATTTTGTGTTCCCCTTCTTTCAACAAATGATAACTGTGGGCTCTCTTTCTTGGGAGCTCAAGAAGATAGAATAGGGTTTGTTCACTTGTTTTCCTTTTAGTACACTATTATCTTCTTTTCCCCAATTGGATTAGTATTTTTCCTTATTTGTATAAGGCACATAGTTATTTCATGTCAAATGCATACATGCATAAATGAAGTGAATTAGGTCAGCTTTTTCCCTAGCAGCCCCACATTTATTTCCTGAGTAGTGGGGAGGGGGCCTATTACAGGCCTGTTTTCAGCTTGTGCTTCCCTTTATGTAGTTAAGTTCACGTATCACCATAGTTTATCATAAACACACAGACTCGAATTCCACCTGCTGTACTTTATTTTAAAGAAGTGATCACATCTCAAATTCTTTAGCTACTTCTATTTCATCTTCTTATAGTAAAATCATTCTTCTTCTAACTTGTGTTGCCTTCAAATCCCCTGTTTTGAAACCTGCACAGATACGGGCATAGAAATATGGCACATGTTGCCATGAACGACAGTAGTATAGGTATTTCTTGCCCTAAGCAATCCTGCAAAGTGAAACAGTCTAAACCATGGAAGAATTTAATTGATTGATTGATTAGAGTTCTCTTTCTACTCTGCCTCTGGGTTTCTGACCTTCACTTTAGATCCACTCCTCAGAACACAGCACCTCCTAACTGGCTGTACATGGCTCGCTCTCTCTCTCTCTCTCTCTCTCTCTCTCTCTCTCTCTCTCTCTCAATAACTGTTTTTTTCTAAAGCTGCACAGAACCTTTCTGGAATCACGCTTGGGTCAGAGGCCCTGGGTGTTGCTGGGGACTTTCTCCACCTGCAACATCTGACCCACATTTCCAGATTCTTATCAGTTTATGTCAAAAGAGAAAAGGGCACATGGATACATAGAAGAGCAGACAAGCCTTTGTGGGTAATAAGAGTTATCTCTGTCTCAACACTAGTGAACAGAGGCGCTGAGGACCTTTGGTCCCAGACTCAACAAGCACAGCATGTTAACATAGGATGAATGTTCCCTTCCTGTTCCCTTCCACCACCATCCCAGCCTCCCTCACTCTTCACTCTGTTGCCCTCTTCAGGAATCTGTTGGCAACTCCATATTCCTTTGGTTTTGTTCAGGATTTTCTTAATCCTTACTCAGTAAGACAAAGCTTTCACCCTTTACTCCAATCATCCTACCTATTATTCCTGTAAATTTTCTGTCCTTTATCATCTGTTATTTTCTCTAAAACTGCACACAACCTATCATCATGAAACAAAACCTAAATCTTTCTGGAAGCCACTAGACTTTAGGACACTGCATTTATACTCAGAGGCCCTATATCTATATAGGATTGCCTCTAACTCCCTTACTGAATCGAATGCACCATTGTAACAAAGACTACAAAGCACTTAAGTGTGACATCTGCCCGAAAACGAAACCTGTCTTTGATTTGTTTATAAGTTTAGCACTGTCAGTCGAGTCCTTAAGCACGCTGTATGTATCACAGAAAACTTATTTTAAGCCTGCTAATTAGATCACTCTGGACAATACTGAAGAAACACTAATTGTAAGACATAATGTAGAACTTACAGCCTGCTGGCGGAAATGACATCAACCATTTTCCTTTCCTTAGTGTGCTTTTCAAAATGAATTTCATAATTTTCACTGATCCAATTTTTAAAAAATTCTTTGCAAAGTCATTCCTAAACCATTTTCAGGGATTATCTGGTTTGCCATTCTAGAAATGAAATTCCCTTTTCAACCTAAACAGATGGCTTCAATTTTTTGATGGAGAGGTATGAATGGAATGTCGCGTGAGAATCTGTGAGCAATGCATTTTTTGGTTGTTCATGCATGTTGCAAAATGTATCTCACATTTTTTCTTTTAAATGAGTTCCCATCTCAACACCCTAAAAAGACTTCAGAACTAAAATTATTTAATGAAAACCAGTTCAGGCATTTCTAAAAAAGTGGAGTCTTAGCTTAACTGAAGTACTCATGTATTAAAACTCCAGTAGAGTAATTCCATTAAGTCAAAGAAGTGTCTTCTAACAGATTCCAAAGATAAGCAGGCTTCAGCTTTGCTAAGCTGTACAAACATAATGCACTCCCTCCCTCTGCCCACAGGGATCTCTCTATCCACTCACACCACAGTAACTTGAGCGGCTGCTGCCAACGGAGCCTCTCTTGACTCTCTGCCCACTTGTTTCAGCTGCTAAAATAAAGCTTAAATCTGTCAAGGACTCTGAAGGGAGAAAAGAGACTCCTACTGTCAATTTATTTCAGCATTTACTGTGTGCCTGCTACATGCCAGACACTAAACGAGAAACTCTGAGGAATGTTGAAATTATTAAATTCTTTCTATTCCTTGCCTTTTGTGGGCTTATCCTATACTAGTGGGGGAGGTAAGAGGAGATAAAGAGAAAGGAGCAAGCACAAAAAGTACATTGTTTTAAATATCAGAAGGAAAGCAATGCTAAATAGAAAGGAAAATTAAGAAAAGCCCAGGTTTATAGAAATTCCTTTTACACTCAGGTGTAAATCAATTCAGTGCATGCCATTAGTGTTTAACCAGTCTGATGAGATGCCCATCCACAAGGCTTTTACTGTCTCTGAATTGTACATCTTATCTGTTCTTTTATCTAAAATAATTTTTAACCACAATTCTGAAAACTAAGAAAGAGAGCACACAACTGCAGAAAAATAACATTATCCTCAGACATCAAAAATCAGCGTGAAATGGGCACAACATGAGTGTACTTAGTGCCACTGAACTGTATACTAAAAAATGACTGAGATGGTAAATTTTATGTTATGCATATTTTAACACAATTAAAATCTGGGGGAAAAAAACATCAGGATATTTTCTGGGAAACAAGGGAAAAATAAATAAAATGTTTTAGACTGATGAGAATGCTGAAAATAATAGAAAAGGTCAAAAACAAAGAAATGATCTTGCCATTGAACATTGTGCTTGCAGATTCGTACATCAGTGACCACATTGTTATTTCCCAAAAGACCCTTCAGCTGGATAAGACACTTCCTGATTGCAGCCATGATTATTATACTTAATAATGTTCTGGTCATCCTTGTGCCGACTATAAAATACATCTTTGGATTCATAGGTAAGTTTCAGTAAGACTTTTAGTCAGCCCAAATTTATACCTTCTTACATGGTAATCAGGAAGCCAGTGCTGGGTGGTCAAAATCCCTAGTCCATCTCAGGCTCCCAGCAGCCCTACTAGATTCCAGTGGCTGTGCCAGTCACCTAACCTCCCTAGTGACACTGGGAGCTACTTTTAGAGGTCACTTAGCCCAGCTGCCTTTTCTAAGGAAACTAAACCTCAAAGAAAGCAAGTCATACACCTTGGGATGGACCCAGGATTTGGAGGTGGCTCCTATCTCTGTCATCCAGAAAAGAGGAAGACAGATTTTATCAACAGAAACTCTCTCAAACCTATAAGTATCAGCCAAGCATTAAGGAGCTCTTTGGAGGAGTAGGAGGTTGATTTTTTTACAGCATACTATTTCTATTACCTACATGGTCTATTAGTATAGTTAATTTTTTGTCTGATGATTAAGGATTTGCTCAAATTTTAAATATTAAACTTTATAAAGAATCAGGTATAGGCAACTTGAAAAGTAAGAGGTGGTTAGAAAGGGAATGTGATGAGCTGTCTCCTTAGTATGTACTTACATTACTAAGCCTTTGTAAATTCATATTATTTTGGCCTTTTATTGCTTATGATACATTACGTGTACTTGTGCAGTTATGCTGTTAGGTACATTTTAATTTTCTTTATAGACATACCTTCCATGAATAAGCAACCAAGATGAACTTATGTGATTTAAGCACGTGCTATTAGAAGAACAGGAATAGTTTTATATTTGGTTTATTTATATTAGTGCTTTTCAGGGAAGATCTGCCTTGTGAGACCTTAACCTGCCCTGCATTTCCCTCCTCAGGGTCTTCTGCTGCCACTATGTTGATTTTCATCCTTCCAGCTGCGTTTTATCTTAGACTTGTCAAGAAAGAATCCCTTAGGTCACCCCAAAAGGTCGGGGTAAGTAAGGGCTTGCAATTCATCCCATTATAAGTCTTAACTACATAGAGTAAACCAGAGAATCTGATTGGTATGGGAAAATGAAACAATGAACAAGAACCCAAAACCAAAGATGGGCTGGAACTTTCTGGTAGGAGGAAACAGGAATGATTTCTGGCACTTGAATGATCTAGGCTCTCTCTCTTCAAATAGCAAATATTTTGTGTTGAGTCCTCTCACATCAAATGCTCATGGAATTTTCCCTACAGGAACATGTGCTCTATGTGCACACCAGTTTCCAGTGCCAAGCTGCAGCTGCACTGTCCACATGAAATTGTCAGGAAGGAAGTTGGCGATCTACCAGTGTTATGGAGCAGTGTAAATGTTTCCAACATGTTAGTTAGGTTTGCAAGGGCCGAGAGTTGCCTTGATTTTTTTTTTTCCTCCTTCTATAGTTCCCTGCTGCTGAAGGCCGGCTGGCTGCAAAATAACCAGGGGGGTGACGAACAACTTGTGTTGATTGATACAGCAGGAGTAGGAGCTGTTTATTGCAGGACAGGAGCAGTATTTATACATTCCACAGAGCTTATCTAGTTAGCATAAACTAGATACATCAGTCAACCAATAAGGAATCTCCATACTTAATGGCTCGCTTTTGTTACTTCTCAAACCACTCCCTCTGGCATTTTGCCAGGCACCATCCAGACTTGTTTATGAACTCTAACATTCCCCTGGCAAAATGCCAGGTGTTATTTTGACTTGTTTACAGACTCTAACAATTCCCCCTTTTGTTTAATTTAAATAAAGACCATAGCTCCAAATTCTGGCAAGTGTGTGACGTCCATCTGCCAAATATGGTTAGGTATCAGTCTTCTAGGATTGACTCCAAGATTAACTTGTGGTAAAAAGGTCACACAATTTTGACATTGTTTTATTATTTGTCTAGCTTGTTCCTTAGTTATTTTAAAACGATTTTGTAAAGTATTAGCATTGACATGGAACCTTTTATGAAAATGTGTAGCTTCTCAGAAAAATATTAACCTAGGTCTGTATGAGCTCAAAAATAAAATAGAACTTTATGATGTGGGAAAAGGCAAATAATAAAATAAATATTGAAAAAAGCATCCTGGTTAATCACTGTCGCAGATGTAAGAATAGCCAAACTGGAGTTCTGGATATCAGCTGTTATGGATTTGAGTCAAATCATCTTCCTTTTGGTCTGTAGAAATTGTTTTAGTTAATCTCTCTGGAATCCAAATCGGCTGCTGTTCTCCCTGTGGAAAAACACAAACAGAACCCCGACTCCAGACAATCACTGGGTCAGGACCTTTCCATTGTCCTGTTAGAATATCCTTCCAAAGTACCTTAGGCTTATGTACATTTTTTGGACAGATATGCCTTTCCGCAGCACTAAGCCCTGATGAATCCAAATTTTAAAAGTTTAGAGTAAAAAGGGTTATTTTAAGTTTATCTTTGGGTGATATATACCCCTTTCCAATTCCCTCTTTTTGCTTTAATAAGTACATTTTAATAGTTTGATGAGCTCTTTCAACTATGCCTTGTCCCTGAGGATTGTATGGGATTCCTGTTATATGAGTAATGCCAAATGATGAGCAAAATTGTTTAAAAGAGGTAGAAGTATAACCAGGACCATTATCTGTTTTTAACTGTTTTGGAACGCCCACAGTGGCAAAATTTTGTAAGCAATGAGCTATAACATCTTTAGTTTTTTTCTCCGGAATGAAGGGAGCCCATCAAAAATCCGGAAGAAGTATCAACTGTAACATGCAAATATTTTAATTTTCCAAATTCGGGCCACCATCTGCCGAAGGCCGGCTGGCTGCAAAATAACCGGGGGGTGACGAACGACTTGTGCTGATTGATACAGCAGGAGTAGGAGCAGTTTATTGCAGGACAGGAGCAGTATTTATACATTCCACAGAGCTTATCTAATTAGCATAAACTAGATACATCAGTCAACCAATAAGGAATCTCCATACTTAATGGCTCGCTTTTGTTACTTCTCAAACCACTCCCTCTGGCATTTTGCCAGGCACCATCCAGACTTGTTTATGAACTCTAACATTCCCCTGGCAAAATGCCAGGTGTTATTTTAACTTGTTTACAGACTCTAACACCCTGCTGTTCCCTGGTTTGAACTGAGATCCCAAACAGAACTCTTTGTTTTTCAGTTAACTTATTTACATACAAAATATGATCTTATTAAACTAGGAAGTGCGTATTTCTTTTCCATAATAGTACTACAGAAACATACTAGAAATATTTTTTTCCCAACAATTAAACATGCTCAGTGACTGCTTAAGAAAGTCTTCTATTAAGGTTTGAAAAGAATGGTTCCTACTGAATTACTCTGAAGTTTTGCCTTGAATTTTTTCACCTCTTGGGATTGTTCAAGGAGTTCAGCAGAGTTTGATATCATAAGCTCTTTCCACCATCTTACCCATGGATTTTCTCTATGTAATCCATCTTGCCTAGACTTTGATAGCAATATTATCTGGGCAAGTGATTTGCCCTAATGATGACCCATGTTTAGTTTAATTAGATGTAAAATTAATACCTAGACCCTTTCTAGTTTTAAAAAAAAAAAGCTTCTGTTTTCCCATACATAGAATTATATTGATCTAAGGCTTCTTCTAATGTTAACATTTGAAACAGTGTATATACATATGTGTGTGTGTAAATACAAAGATATATACACACTAACATATGTTAGTCTGTCATTTTTATTTGCATGCTTTATAAAATTAGAATTGTATCATACGTACTATTTCTTTATGACCAGCTCTTTTTCACCTAAAAGATTCTGTAGATCCTTAAATTTTTTGTCACTTTAAAAAAAAAATTATTAGAGCTTTATAGTTATATATAGTAGTTAGGTTCATTCCTAAAAACTCATACATGCATGGAATTCAATTTCAGTTCATAATGCCCCTCTTTTCCCTTTCTCCCTTCCCCCATTCCCCTTCTTCTACTGTAGTGTACTCTTTACACTTGTCTATTTATTTATATTTGGTTGATTCTTTTTATTTATGCATAAAGGTGAAATTCCCTATGGCATATTTGCATAGGCACATAACATGATTTTTTAAGAATTCATTCTTCATTGCCTCCCTTTAACCATCCCTTCACTCTGCCTCTTGATCTACTTTTTCTACATTATTGGTTTTCCCTTTATCTTTATTATATCCTATCCTTCCCTCCCCCTTTCCTTTTTTTTTTGAACTCTGGCTTCTGCATTTAAGAGAAAACATTCAATATTTAAGTTTCTGAGTTTGGTTTATTTCACTTAGCAGGATATTCTCCATATCCATCCATTTACAGGCAAATGCCATAATTACATTCTTTTTAATTTTTTACTGATCATAAAGTATTCCATCCTTTAGACATACCAAATCAATTAGCCATTACTCTGTTGTTGAAATTTTAGGTTATATCACTGCACTGTATTCCCCTTCTTTTCCCAACTAGGGTTCAAAATAGATTTGTTGGACATCTAATTTATTAAGAATAATACAATTTAATATGCAAATAGGATTGCCACCTTATATTAATAACTTATAAAAACAAACAGCTAAAAATGGTTTTCCTGTTCCCTAACAAATTCTGTCTGAATTACAGGCTTTAATTTTTCTTGTGATTGGAATTATCTTCATGATTGGAAGCATGGCACTCATTATACTTGATTGGATCTACGATCCTCCAAATTCCAAGCATCACTAACCTAGGAGAAAATGTTCTTTTTCTGTTGGAAGTGGTTGCAAGTTATGCCCAAATCAAGACATTTGAGTTATCTTGATTGGAATGTTACTCATAGGAAATAACAGGAAGATTCCCAAGACATTTGCTATTATATCACCAGACACCTACGAGAAAGAAAATTATGGTTTCTGTTGAGAATGGTTGTTAATGTATTTAAAATCCATGGTGCACATTGCTACCCAGGTTTGACTAGAGCATTGTGAGATGATGAAGGTGTGTTTTTGCTGCTATACAAGCAGAATAAGTGTGGCTGCATTTAATGGTCATCAGATAACACCTTTTCCTTTGAGCTGGCTCCCCACCCTCCACCTTCCCAAAGTAACAGATAGTTGTATTCTCAGAGCATTAAATTTAAAATGCCCTGGTGGCAAACTATCAACACTTAATGCCTTTCCACATCTTGCACCAAATTCTTTGGGGCTTTTGGCTAACAGAGAGAAGCAAAAGACACCTCTTGCGAGCTTGTCCCTGTGAGGTAGATGAACTGTCAGACTCTAGCCAACAGCACTTGGTGTCCACACTAAAGGGATAGTTTGCCCATCCCATTTGTGACATTGAATTAGTGACTTCTTCATTCAATGGATTGTTAGGTAAACATTAAAGCATTTTATTAAACATAGAGAGGGGCTTTATTTAAATTTAAGCAACAACAAAAATAATGCTTACAGCTCAGCTGCTTGCTGTGGAAGCATCTGCTTTGAAGTTGTTCTTAGTCGTCTTGTCATACTTTTGTCCTTGAACAATGCTCTCCCTCTCGTCTTCCATTCTCATTTAGAATGTTTAGAATACCACAGGTCACGTGGAGATACACTACCCAGTATTGTCTGATACATTTTTATTTGATAAACATTCAGTGCAGGAAACTGTAATTTGCTATATGTTTATGTATATAATCTTATTCTATAGTCATCAGAATGTTAATGTATGGTACATTTGATTCTGATTTTTTACATGTGTAGTTTTCTTTCTTCACAGTCAAAACATTTATATTATTGGGGTGGGAGCAGGGAATTAAGTTGGTGGGCTCAGAAATCCATTTGTATGCATCTGTCTATTGGAGATATTCTAAATTTGAAACCTAAGTTATACATAGTTCAGTAATGCTCTTCTTTGATGTTTACAATAATAATCATCTATGAGAAAACGGGCTCCTTATTTGTGAGTAATTATCAATGCTAAGGTTGTTCTTTTAATTTAGCACATCTAAATAGGATTTGGTTCATTTTAGCTTGTGGAGGTGTTTGCTGACATTCATGTGTCATTTAATACAATGTTGAGTGATTGTCCGTAGAAATAAAAGTGCAAACTATCCTTCTTGCTCATTTCCAAAACATACTTGTGTAGAATGGATTTAAAAGTTACTACTCACTGCCTAGAACTTCTAGAGTTCACTTCTTTGTCAAATCAGTAGCAAGAACATTTGTTGTATATTTTATATGTTATTAAAGCCAAGTATGAAATATAAGTATCATACAAGTATGACATAATAGATAATATCTCAATAGTGTTTTGGGAGTGTACCAAAGAAAAGAAATATTTGTTTTATGTATTATTTTCTAGAGACATAATACTGTAAAATGGTGCACTTTGCTATGAAAATTGAGTATTACTAGAAACTATCATAACTTTTAAGTCACTGTTACTTGGAAAAAATTTGCCAAATAGCATCTTTAAGATATATTTCCATCTTCATTTCTCTAAAGAATATATCAAAACAAAGTTGAAAATGTGTCTTCTGAATGTTAAAAACTGTTTAATCTAAATTTATTTAAATGTAAATATTAAAGATTAATCCAAAAATATTGAAAAACTGTAAAATCTGTATATATTTTGAATCCTTTTCATTTAAAATACTAACTTGAGAATATCAATTGTATACTTATATAAATATTCAAGAGCAGTCCTACAGTGCCAAATAATAAAGCACCATTTTTTTCCTCGGGCCATTTTCAGGATTAGAATTCACATATTCTGCAGGGCAGACATACAGATGGTACCTTGTGCTGGTTAATTTAACCCCATTTGTAAACAGATGAAATTTTTATTTTCTTATTTCATTTATAAGATGGTTCAATGTATTGGGAGGCTTTTTTATTACAGGAAGTGTATATTGGTATATAATAAATGAACTTTGCAAATGACCATGTTGTGATTTCTTTCTCTTTTTAAAAAAGGTCATGAGTTGCATATACATGAAACAAAATTTAAAATCTAATTATTGCCCCTCTTCTATTAGTATAGGATGCATTTTCATTGTGCACCATCACAAAAGCATGATTTCTCTATTCCCTGTACACACAAACTCCCAGATTGATTTACCTCACACAAACACACACATCCTGTATTATAAAATATTTGTATAAAAGAATACAAATAATTTATTTTCTTACAGTTCTGGAGGTCAGAAATTCCAAAACCAAGGTGTTGGTGGAACGGCCTTCCTTCTGGGATCTCAAAGAGAAAATCTAATTCCTTGCCTTTTCCAGCTTCAGGGAGTCACTTAAATTCCTTGGCTCTTAGCATCTTCCTCCGTCTTCAAAGTTAACAGTACAGCATCTTCAAGTTCAAATCTATGTCTCACTCTCTTTTATCACATTTCCTTCTCTGTCTGGCCTCCCTCCTTCTCTTTTAAGGGTTCTTGTCATTACATGGGGCTCACTCAGATAATATATAGTAGTATTCCCTTGTAAAGATCCTTACTCGCATCTCTAAAGCCCCCTCACTATCTAATGTTACATACTTGTAGGGTCCAAAGATTAAAACATGAACATCCTTGGGAGACCATCATTCTGTCTGCCACGTGCCCACATACACCCCACACATCACAAGCACACCCTGTATGCCCTCTACCACTCACACAGGTGTACAGTCACATGTACACATACCACTTGCACATGTATATTATCCCAGAGGCAGTGGAACAAAGGATGTTAAGGAGAAGATGTGTTGTAGAAAGACTATCCTAACTGCTGACTTGGAAATGGAATGGGAAGGTGCTAAGATAGAAAAGAAAGACCACTGAAAACAGGAGGGCTTTAGTCAGTCATCGCGCACATTAAGAGCAAATATTCTCCTTGATCCCTTCATTCTGTGTTAAACTGAAGATGTGGGTTTTGTTCAGGAGTTTTCCAGAGACAGAGATTTCTCTAGAACGTTTTATATTTGATGCATCTTTCTTTAAAATTTAGAGAGGAGGGAAGGGAAAGAAGAAGTACTAGAGACTGAATAGAGTAAATTATATTCCATGAATATGATAGGTCAAAATGAACCCACTATTAGTACAACTATAATGCATTATTATATTATTAAAAATGATTAAACTGAGGGAAGGGGTATAAACCTGTATAATAATGCATGGGATTCCAAACGGTATTTTTGACATTGTAGAAATACAGAGGCATCTTACAATGAGTTTTGACAAGTGGCACTTTTGACATAGTTGTCATTAATTGTCTCCAGTTGTGTATCAGACTTGTAGAATGGACATCAGTAGTTTGGAAGAATATCCCAGTGATAATAATGGTGCTTTTATTAAGCACTTCTGCATTCCCAAGAGTCTGTAACAGAAAGGATATATATTCTGTGGAAAATTACAAAAATCTTAATTTGTTTATGATTTTTACATATGCACAAAAGTTCAATTTGATTAAAATCTATATCTAAAGTTATAAAAGGTCTCCTTCAGTAAAATAAAACTTCTGAACATAAAAAGCACTGTGAGGGACTGGGGATATAGCTCAGTTGGTAGAGTGCTTGCTCGCAAGCACAAGGCCCTGGGTTCAGTTCCCAGCCCCCCCGCCCCCCCCCCCCCCAAAAAAAGCATTGTGAGCCAGATGCAGTGGCACACACCTGTAATCCCAGCAGCTTGGGAGGCTGAGGCAAGAGGATTGCAAGTTCAAAGCCAGCCTCAGCAACTTGGCATGACCCTGTCTTTAAATAAAATATAAAAAAGGGCTGGGGATGGGACTCAGTGGTGAACACCCCTGCATTCAATCCCCAGTACCAGAGAAACAAACAAATAAATAAATAGCACTGTGGGCTGTGTGGGAGGCATTCAGAGAAGCCCCTGCAGGCTTGAGGCTCCTCCAATGGGAAGAAACTAAAAGGATTTGCTGCCGACCTCCTCTGAAAGATTTGCTAAAGGAATTTCTTTAAACAGAAAGTAAATGATAAAGAACAAACATTGGAGGGTCTGGAAAGAAGGAGAAACAGAGGAAAGACTGGAAAGACGAGTGACTGTAATAGACTATGCTATTCTCCATGGACTTTATAAATACCTTTTTTACTTAAAAAAATTATAACATCACCTGACACTCAAGAAAAGTTGTTTGTTTTTTTTAATGGAGAAGTTAAAAGACCTAATTAGAATTCATGTGTTCACATTGCACTCAAAGTGGTTAATAATGTAATATTCAGAATAACCACTATAACAACTCTACAAAAGAGATATATTCAACAGTCCTATAATAAATTAAGAGGAATTCACCAAAAAATATGTTTAAGTAATCCAATGGAATCTAATAAAAGAAAAATGGAGAAACAAGAACCAAAGAAAATAATTAATAAAACAGCAGACTCATACATGAGCATATCAAGAGTTACTTTATTGGCAAGTATGATTTATTTTTTTAAATCTGCAAAAAACCGTCTCTTTTTTTTTAAGAGAGAGAGAGAGAATTTTTAATATTTATTTTTTAGTTTTCAGCGGACACAACATCTTTGTTTGTATGTGGTGCTGAGGATCCAACCCGGGCCGCACGCATGCCAGGCGAGCACGCTACCGGTTGAGCCACATCCCCAGCCCTGCAAGTATGATTTAAATATACCAATCAAAAGAGATTGGAAAAGTGAGTAAAAACCATGATCTAACTGTGTGCTCTTATAAGAATCTCACTACAAATTAAATGGCATAGGAAGGTAGAAAGCAAAAGAATAGAAAAAATATACATATAAAATCTAATAATAGAAAATTGACTATAGTAATATCTGACAAAGCAGACTTCAGAGAATGGAAAGTTACTGGAGCCAAGAGGTGTCCATTTTTCCACATCATGTTTGTAATGACAAAATTGCCAGGCACAGTGGCACATGCCTGTAATCCCTGTGTCTCGAGAGGCTGAGGCAGGAGGGTTACAAGTTTGAGGCCAGCCTCAGCAACTTAGCAGAGTTCTGTGTTAAACACATACACACACACACACACGCACACACACACACACACAACTGGATATGTAGCTCAATGGTAAAGTACCACTGGGTTCAATCCCCAATACCAAGGAAACAAACAAACAAACAAAAAACAACAAACAACACAATGACAAAAACATCAATCCAATAAGAAGACATAACAATCCTAAGTGTGCATGCACCAAATAATAAAGCTTTGAACTACAATCAACCAACAGTTTCTAATTGATATATATATATAGAACAGTCCATTGTCAACAGCAGGAAATACTGGATTTTGAAGCTCACATGAAACATTTACCAAAACAGACCATATTCTGGGGTAGTGAGGGGGGACCTCAACAAATTTAAAAGAGTTGAAATCATACAGAATGTGTTTTCTGAACATAATGGAACTAATTAGAAATCAATAATAAAAAGGCAATAGGAAGATTTCTAAACGTGAAGATTAAACATCATAGTCCCATGTAATTCAAAGGAGTATCAAGGGAAATTTTAAAATACATAGAGCTGAATGAAAATGTTAAAACATGTTAAATATGTGAGATGGACCTAATGCAGGGCTGAGAGGGAAGTTTAGAGGCCAAATGCTACATTAGGAATAAAGTCAGAGTGAATAATCTAGGTCCTGTATCAAAAAACTAGAAAATAAGAGCAAAATAAACCCAAAGTAAGCAGAAGAAAGAAAACTCATAAGACATCTATGTGACTGAAAATAGGAAAACGATAGAGAAAAATCAATGAAATGAAAGCTAGTTCTTCAAAACAATCAACAATATTGGTAACCCTCTAAGAGGAAAGACAAAAAGAAAATGGAAATCATAGTGTCTCTTTTTAATGGCAGCAACTTTCTCTTTTTGTAGTATATTAAATAATGATGCATCTTAAAATTTAAAAATCTTTAATAAAATATGATTCTTAATTTTCAAAAATTTTATTAACATTCTGTGGTTAAAAGTGTACGGGTCCCACTTCTTCCAGAGGTCTTTTAATGTGTGCGTGTGAATGGTCATGCACATGGTACAGTCACCATCACAAGGGTAGTAGTGTGTGTGTGTGGTGGAGATGATGTGATAGAGGAGACCAGGCCAGACAAAAGAAAAGTTTACGGAGGGTGACCAAATAAAACATGAACTCATTTAAATCTGGATTTTTTTCCCCAAAGCATTCTAATTTTGGTCTAATTGATTGGCTTAATAGACTCATATGAGCTTAGGAGAGCAATATATTACATTAATTCGACTAAAGGGAAATGGAAACCCTAGGAATAAAGGAGAAGTAGAAAACTGGTCTCACATAGCAACTAGCATTCCTGGTTTCTGTAAGTTCAAAGTCGAGCTCAGACAGCGTGTAGCTCTAGAAATAAGGCTCCTAGACAACTCTCTTAACTCTAGTTTGACATTAAGTATAAGTGTCACCATGTTGGAGGTTTTCCACCAGCCCTGGGAGTGCAGGGAGAAAGACAGAAACCCGATACTCCCCTGTTGGGTGTGACTCAGACACCCTGGCACAGGGTCATAAAGCATTGTATCAGGGTCATTTGTGAAGAAACTACTTGAGATTGATTATTTTATGGTTAGATTCCTGATATTGCCATCTCTAAGGAAAACTTGACTGTTCTCCATGAAGCAATAGGCATGTTTCCTCTACTTTTGCCAGCATTTTCATTTAAAATTTTGGAAAATCTCCAAGTTTTACTGACTGAGTAAGAGGTTGTCTAACCCTGGTCTGCAGCCCAAACTCGTTCCCAAATGGATAATCAGCATTTCTTTTAGCCTTGCTAACTCAGCAATTTAAAGGACAAAAAAAAAAAAGAATTGCCGTTTTCCATTTCTCTCTCTTCCTAGAGTTCCAAATCTTGGTTAACCATTGATAGACTGCTGGAAGGTATAGATGCTGATAAGATGATGTACTTCTTCATCTTTCTGTGCAGAAAAATGAAAAAAAAAAGAAATTGGATTGTTTCATGAAATAATTATTTACCTGTGAAAAGTGCTCATCACATGGACTATTTTCTACTTAGTGATGTCATGAAATGAAGCTCTATTTAGTAAAACTTCAGATTAGTATTTCAGTTGCTTGTTTGGAATCAGGGATTGACTAAATCATTTTACTTCTGACTCTAGTTCTACTTACAGGAAAGTAGAAAAGTCCTGCCCTGAGGCTTTGGGGGCCTGAGTGCCATCACCACTCACTGCTGGGTGATGCTGGGCTCAAAGCCCTGCCCTTTGCTGCTGCTGATCATGATTTCCCCTCCCCACATACACAGGTACAGATATTTCTCTATTTGCATCATACAGTGCACACATCTTTAGTTTAATAGAAATTGCCAAATTGTTCTCCAAAATAACAGCATCAATTGGTTCTTTCACTAGCTGTATATAACTTATTTAGTCTTTTTTTCAAATATTTATTTTTTTAGTTATACGGAGACACAATGTCTTTATTTTACTTTATTTGGTGCTGAGGATTGAACCCAGTGCTTCACGCATGCTAGGTGAGCACTCTACCTGTGAGCCACAATCCCAGCCCTTATTTACTCTTTGATATCATCATTATTTAATATTTGCCTTGATGACAGGTAAATACCGTATCTCATTGTCTTAATTTTAATAAACCTGATTGCATATTTAGCAATACATTTATAACCACTATTAGGCATTGGAAAGTTGTTTATTATATTCTTTGACAATTTTTTCAGTTAAGATTTTTTTTTTGGTCTTTTTTCACATTAATCTGCATTATCAGTCTATTATAGATGCTGCTAATGTGTCTTTTTAATAAACTGAATGAAGTCTTCTAATCTCAGATCTCTCAGGATAAACAGAGTTTAGTCAGGGAATAATCAGGGGTATATTTATTAACAAAGCAAACATTCAAAGTGATGAAAAACAGGACAGAAAAGCATGTAAGCAAGACCCTTCTGACATAAAATGTGTTGCTTTTGAACAGATCATCCTAAGGGTCTTTTTTTTTTTTAGTTAACTGTATTTAAGGAAACTTCACTTGCACAAATGAAGTTAAAGAAAAATTGAATCAAATGTTCTATTTTTGTTTTTATGATCTTCCATCAAAAGACAACATGTGTATTTCCTAACTTCTATATTTAGTCCATTTGGAATGTTGATATTTTATAACTGCTTAATGCAGAGCCTGGTGTGACACCAAGACAAGGGGAACCTACACCTGGAACAGCAATGCTGTGTCCCCCAAAGGCCTTGTGCTTAAGGCTCAGTCACCAGCTTCCAGCACCACTGAGGAGTGGGTGGACCTTCAGGAGGCAGAACCTACTGGGGAGAAGTTAGGTGACTAGGATGTGCCCTTGAGCAAGATATGGGGACCCCTTGCTCTCTCTAGCAGCTTCCCCTTCCCTGCACTCCCATCACACACCCAAAAGCAATTGAGCCAACTGACCATGGATTGAAATCCCCCAAAACTGGGAGCTCGAATACATCTTTCCTTTTTTAAAGTTGATTATCTCAGATATTTTACAGTAATGGAAAAAGGACTAACAAAGAAGAATGAAGATTTATTTATCTGACAACATTTAGGTCTTTAAAATTTTGTTTTGGCAATCATGCAATTCATTTGGAAAAAATAAGAGGCCCAGAATAGCCAAAGCAATCCTTAGCAAGAAAAGTAAAGCAGGAAGCATCATAATACCAGACACTACATTATACTACAGAGCCATAGTAGCAAAAAAGTCATGGTATTGGCACCAAAACAAATGTGTAGCCCAATGGTACAGAAGGAAGACACAGAAACAAACCCACCTAAATACAGTTCTCTCATCCTAGACAAACGCACCAAAACCATACCTTGGAGAAAGACAGCTTCTTCAACAAATGGTGCTGGGAAAACTGGAAATCCATATGTACCAAATTAAATTAAACACCCATCTCTCACCATGCCTGAAAATTAACTCAAAATGGATCAAAGATAGGCACTAGAACAGAGACCTTGTGCCTAATGAAAAAAAAAAAAAAGTAGTCCCAAATCTTCACTATGACAGCTGAGGACCTGACTTCCTTAATAAGACTCCTAAAGTGCAAGAAGTAAAATCAAGAATCAATACATGGGATGGATTCAAATTAAAAAGCTTCTTCTTGTCATAGAAAAAAATCAATAATGTGAAAAGAGAGCCTACAGCATGGAAGAAAATGTTTACAACCTGCACCTCAGATAGAGCATTTATCTCCAGGAAATACAAAAAACTCGAAAAATATAACAATAACAACAACAAAACCAAATAACAAATCAACAAATGGGCGAAGGAACTAAACAGACATTTCACAGAAGAAGAAATACAATCAATCCACAAATATATGAAAAAAATGTTCAATTTCTCCATCAATTAGAGAAATGCAAATCAAAACTACTCTAAGATTATATTCCACTCCAGAATGCCAATTATCAAGAATACAAGCAACAATAAGTGTTGGCAAGGAAGTGGATAAAAATATACATTCACACATTGCAAGTAAGACTGCAAATTGATGCAACCATTCTGGAAAGCAGTATGAGGATTCCCCAGGAAACTCAGAATGGAACCACCATTTGATCTAGTTATCACCCTCTTCAGTTTATACCCAAAGGATGGAGATATATATATATATATATAT